GCATCCGCACACAGAGAGCTTTCGCTCTTCGTTCTTCGATGTTTGACCGACCTGAGATCGAACTTCATAAGCGATTTGGACGCACAGAGTCTATTGTCTTCGCTAAATAAAACGAACAATATGATGAATATAGTAAATATATATATGTTATATATATATATATATAATAAATGATTGCTATATTTTATATAAAAAAATAAAAGCAATATTGAAATACAAAATGAAACAATCAGTTGTTTGCGAACAAAATAGAATAAACTCGTAAACGATATTTACCAATATCGAAATATTTAAAATACTGTTAATAGCGAAATCAATTTTTTTGTATATAGCTATTCGTTGTTTACTGATTATTTCTACAAATAGCCTGTAAATGGTGTATTTTAATAACTTTTAAAAAGGTGAGAGAGATATATTTAATTTTATTTTGCAATTTATAACTTTATAACTTTATATTTTTTCGAAAACATATTTCATTTCACAAGCATTTTCCGTATCAAATCGTATCTCGTTTCAATTTCGCAAACATCGAGTGTTGTTTTTGGCACTAGGAAAAACTGGAGCGAAAATAATGCCCCTATCTGAGGGAAGAAATCTTCCTCCTGCCAGGTGTACGCGAATATAAATACAAAGAGTAGACCGGTATATATATATATAAAAGCGATAATACTAACGCGCCCACATAATTTTGCTGCGTACCTTATCAAGGATTTCGTTGTATGACATCTCTTTGAGCTTGTACACTCTGGCAGGCGTAATCCCGGATTTCAATCCGATTCCTTTCCTCGAACAGAACTCACTGAACGCGCGTCAGTGGAATTATATTAAATATACGCATACAGTTCCGCGACAATTCCTAGATTTTGCTGCAACTCCGCTAATGAGGAAAAGTCGAGGATTCACCGGTATTTATCTAAATCGCGCGCGCGCGCGGCTGTAAGGAGCTTTCCAATTTAATGGCTTTAAGCGCCATCAAGAGTGGTTAAGTTTTCCGGCATTAAAAACACGACAGCTTACCGCAGCGTTCGAATCCGTCGAGCTTTTTTTTCAATTAACGTCACTGTTTGAAATTGTTCGAGACGTCTTGCGTGAAATTCGAGCTCTTGCATTCCTGGACAAGATACAAATAGATCTCGTTTCATCCCCGGGCGTTCGATCGATAGTCCGCAGCCGATCCTTACCGCGATCCTCGTCATTCGATGCCCAATCTCGACGTCCACTTCTCTCCATTTCCAGGTCCGTCAATAGCCGGTAGATCCTCAAAGTTTGCCTAATGAGGCTCATTCGACACGGCCGAGAGCCATGCCCAGTACACGCGGTGTCGGAGCACCGATCCCATTATCGGGCCCGCTCTGGCTGGACCCACCAGAAACCGCCGCTTACAATTCCACTGCCTGATCCGTTCTATCTCGCCGCGCCCGTTGTACGCTTCACGTACGTTTCCGTAATGAGCCACTAATTGGCAATTGCGTCGAATTGCACCCTAGACGCGACCGGATCCTATCCCGCGCCTTTCAGACGGCGTGGCCGCTCTCGCGTGAAACGAGTGACATCGTTCTCGGATAACTGTGGACGTGATTGGACGTTTTTATCGCGTACAAAGTACTTCTGTACTTTGGAAATTGCAACTTTGCATTTATATGAAACGTTATTCTTGGACAGATCTGTACAATCTTATACGCTCGTTATAGGTATATATAATGTTCTTATTATATATGTTAGATTTCGTGCTTAAAAATACATCATTTTTTTTACGAATATTTTTTCCTTGTCACATTTACATGACGAAAAAGAATCAGCAAAATGTATAGAGGCGCAAAGGCATATCGTCCGCTCTTGATTATTTGTCTTGTGTTAAATAGACTTTTATCGCATACGATCAACAGTTAGAAGACCAAATTATTACGCTCTATTGAATAAGAATCGCTCTGAAAATTGAAGTGATTATCGAGGAGAAAACCCAGTCGCTCTCTCTCTCTCTATGTGGCAGGAGTAATGCCACGCAGGTGGTCTGCGATAATAAATTACCCGGTAACGACGAGAACTGCGACGGTCAGGTGCACCGGCAAAAACCAACCAGAATGGATTATTAATTACGATATTACGTCGACGGGACCGAAGGGACCGAAGAGCTCGGGGGATGGAGGTTCTCCTCCACAGTATGCGTGCGCATTGCGCCGACAATGAGATTCTCGTTTCGAATTAGGCAATTGTTGGTCACGACGAAATGCACTTTTCCCCCTCGTTGAACTGACCGTTTGATTTCCCGATGTGCGACGCGTGAAACAATGTCCGGTGGCGCAAGATCGCCGGGACTTCGATTCAGTTCTGATTTTCGGACGATTCGCCCGAACGCAATCGGATAATTATTTTATCACCGGGTACAACCGGGAAAAAGAGAGATCATTAATGGCGCATTCCTGCCGGGTATATTAATTTTCGTCATTAATCGACGAAGCGATTGCGAAATCCCCGAATTCTGTTAAAATAGATTGACGGTAATTAGAGCAGTTTGCGGCAAATATAATTATTCAGATTATATATCGAAAGAGACAAAATTAATCATTAATTCTTTCATAACGATTTTGTCAAATTGGTCGAAAGCTCCCGTGCGTATCTTTTGAGAAAAATTAACGGGCAAAATTGATAATTTACGCGAATGTAAAATATTGTTAACTTCTCAAGTCTCTGATAGAGAGTCGAATAACAGGAATAAACAATTGTGACGCGTCGTTTATAGAGATTTCGTTGCAAAGAGAAGGAAATTTTATGATAAAGCGTACACATGAAACGTCGCGATAAATATCGTATATGAAAAATATTACAAATTGAAACAATTTCATCTAGACATTTCATTTAAACGATGTCCGGGACTGTAACATTATAAATCAAAACAATGTCATCTATAGGCGCTTCATTTAAACGATGTCCGCACGAGATGCTTTTTTTACGAGATCAACACTTTAAACGAAAAACTGCAATCGATACATACGCAGAATAAAGTGTTTCACGTTCAATTAATCCAACGTGCATACTAGACACTACGTTTGTACATTTGATAACAGGTGTATTTTAATCGAGTGCGATTCTCTCGTATCATCCAAGTTATTCCCGATATTGATGGGATATATACGGTGTTATCAATTATCCGAGGGCGAAACACGATAGTTGTGTATATATAACAGAGGAAAACATTTAATCATATGATCGGCCAATTATTAATTATGCAAAGTTCGATATTCATTACTTGACTCTCTCTCGCGCGCGCGATGAAAAACACTAACGTTTTATTTGTTAACGTCCGACGAACTTAATGAATATTTGACCGTCGTTAAGAGTCTAGTCCATAGGATTTCCCTCTATGGTTTGTAAAAACTTCAACTTCCAACTAAACTTCCATGAACCTACTCAGGTTTTCCAAACTTTGGTAACTTCAACGTCCATTTCTCAGTCGAGTCACCTCATTAACTTCATTTCTTGTAATTTAAATTCGTATCTAATCTTGCTCCGTCCGTCCCAATATCTGTTTCGGGAAACGGATGCGATTATTAAAATGTTTTTAACTTTTCTTTCTACTTTCTACATTTACGTCATTTAATTCTATAGAACAGATGTGTTGTTCGAAGTCTCTTTCAGACTCTCTTCTTTCGCTGGGGTATCGAAAGTTTGTTCAATATCTATTTTACGAGATTCTATTCTAAACTCCATTGAATAAAAAAAGTTTGCGACAATGAGGCTGTACTTTCGATATTGTCGTGATGAAATATTGATTTTATTCTTTTCTTGTCGATCATCTCTACCACTTTTGTAGGCACCAAGACAAGTCAGTTCGTGACTTTTTGACCTCTGACCTTCTGCAATGAAATATTTACGCTAAATATGCTTTCTGTTTTTAGGAAGCTTTTAATAATGTTTGTAACAATTGATTTAAAAATGCTACGCTTATATATTTACAAAGTTCGCATACATTTACTTATAATTGTTTGCTACCCATGTATATTTGATACTCTGTATGCTTTTAGAGGACTTGCCGTAGATGAATGCTTCTGCTACACTTCCATTATTACTCCGTTATTTAACGCGCGATTCGCAAATTATACACGCGCGCCGGAAAAATTAGTTCCGTTAGAAAAAACCGGAGGTGTTGATATCAGAAGCAGTTCGAACAGAGGCTGGACGCGCGCGAAATACACGACCGCTAATTGCGTTTGTCATACCGATAATTAATAATGCATCGCTCGAAGCGGCACGACGACTGATCGGCGAATTAAATGCATTAACGACGATAATCGGGTTGTGGTGAATGCCAAATCGAAAATACACCGGCGGGGAGTTATTGAATGCAAACGAGGCCGCGATCAATCATCCGGCTCAGCTACTGGCTTTCGACGCCCGTAATGACGCAGTTCCGGCGCTTTGCATCGCTATCACCGATTAGATAAGAAACAAAACGCGCGCGAGTTCTCGCCGGTAAAAAAAAAAAAGCAAAGAGAGTTCAATAGACGTCGAAGCACTCAACTACTTTAATTTATATCTTTAACGAGAGAAAGAGAGATTCGTGCTCAACGTCGCGAGGCTCACAAAGTTGATCGGCGATGAGAATGCAATATGCATTCTCTCCCTTGAATTATCCTCCTTTTATGCTTTTTTAAATTCTAAATATTGAAATTTTTTTTAACGACATATCGATTAAATTAATTTGGACGAAATGATAATCCATTTGTGAAACGATAATGGCGGCGATACTAAAAAGTATAAACATAGAAAATCATTAGATTCTCGTTAATATAATCGGAATGGCGCTTTTGCCGAGCGTTTACAATTTACACCCTTCGACGAGCGCGATTTGAATTTCCAATTACCGTTTCCTAATTGACACCGCTACTGTCCGCATATAACGTAGAAATTCACCTTCTATTTCCATATCCGCTTCGCCATATGCATGCGCGTGTGCCGCACGAGACTGCGGAATAATTCCCGTGCCACTCGAACTCGCGCAGATATATATATCGCGCGGTCGTCGTTTCGCTTTTCCGACGAGAAAAGGGGACAGAAAGAGAAGAAGGCAGACTGAAGGAGGACGCACTCTCTCTCGAAGGAGCGGAATGAATAATTGCGCGTCGCGAACGGCGACGGCGGGCCGCCGAATGGCGGATTTGATTTGCGGAGGAAGAAAGGGCCGACACTCGTCGCCTGCAACGATAACGCACGCCCTGCTGCCGCTGCTGATAGTATGCGCCACGTTAACGATATCCCATTGCTGCTACGTCTTCCCGAAAGGTATTCCGCAGAGCAGAGGCGTATAACAAACCTCTTCATTTTCCATTCTCGTCGACGACGACCGACGCGACGCGACGATGAGATTCCGGCGCAACCAAGCGCCGAAAGTATCGAAACTTCCGCGGAACTTTGAAACGGGCGCGTTTACGCGCCTGGCGAATTAACGAGTACGCGACGCTGTTGTGAGTCATTTTAGCGTATTTCGAAACTGAGGCGCAAGTTGCGAGTCTGCGTGGAAATAATATTTCCGACGAATGTTAGCGCTCTTCCTAATTTTCCGCCTCGATTGCAGCTCCAAGTGGAAGAGCCTGCGCTATAGCGCGACCTAAACTCATTGATCGATAAACTTCGCGTGTCGGGCCTTGCGAGATGTGTATAATCAATGTTTGCAATACATAAAGTGTAATAATAAAATGCAAAATAAAAATTATAAGTAGATGAAAATCGTCGTCTAAAAATAAGCAAATTAAAACGTTGAACAAGATCAGAGAGAAATCTAATGACTCCGACACACGTACTTTTAAAGAATCATTAATTTTCTCCGTACGTAATTCTACCTTTTGCAGAATTAAGAAAAAAAGATGACCGTAAAACTCTACAGGACAACATTGCGCGTGTCGCGGATAAATAATTTATACAGTAACCGAGCGTATAAAAAAACATCATGTCCACCTTCGTCAAGAGATATATCTCGTCGGTTACGACGCCACTTTCCCGACGGAAAATAGTTCAGTCGGGGACCGCAAATTTCGCTCGTGCACGCGCGATAAAATTTTAACAGAGCACGAAACCGCATGCGAACTCTTTTGGGTCGGTCCTTAGGGATCCGACAAGGTTAATGATCCGGGACGCGCCACGAGTGGTCCGCTCGTTCAATTTTTTTTTTGTTCTTCGTCGCGCCATATTTTTTTTTTGCGGCAAAAAATGCAGCGCGTAAATTTTGTCGCGAATGAATCCCGGCGGATAATAGTTTATTCATCGCGAATCGCGTCGATTTAATTTCACGGCGCGTTACGACGCTACGCTGGGTAGGTTGCTTCACGCGTCGTGTTTACGGTTTGCAATTACATTTTCGGCAGTTCGGATTCGCGTTACGCAGAAAAAAATATCGTTGATTAAACGCGCCGGATTTTTCCGGTCTGCGCGTCGTCCCTAAAAAAACAGATTTTCACATTTTGTCTTTTAGACGGGAGAGTCACATGTCGCATCGCTTGATTTAAAGGGCGTTAACTGCAAGTAAATGATTAAAAAATCATTTTAACGCCATTTGTTACTTGATAAGAATAAATAAAAAAAATAACGAACGATTTAAGAAGACATGGGTTTAAGGAGATAACAGTATTGAAAGAGCTCTCCGTGGCATATATTTGAAAACCAAGCTCCGAAGAGAGATACACGCAAAATTCGACAATCGGCCTACAAACCGTACGTGTCGACACGAAGGTCTCTGCATTTACGTTTGACATTTCCGTCGTAAACCGGGTTCGACGATTCCAATTCCGCGGAATACGAGAGCATTAAATTGCACGTATCGCCCGTGATTGTACTCGGCAAACGCGGTGAGGACTCTGCCCATCCTATTCGTCATTGGCTTTCGTCTCGTTACTTCGAAATCGAAGCTGTCGACGACTTCCATCAACGGGATTGACCGTAACATCGTACCGTTCTCGTCAACGGATTATCGCGCCATTACCAATCCGTTTCCGGTGAACGCGCATTATCGCGCGGAATGGGAGAGACGTGCGTCTTGCGCAATGCAGGTCCGACGTATTTTCGACGCTTTGATGAAATGCGATTGATATAGCCAATGACCGTAATTAATTAATTAGATGCTCTTGAATTTATTTCGTTCGAAAACTGAAAGGAAAAAAGTGGAGAGCTTTTTCATAAATAATATTTTCAACAACTTTAATTTATTAAAAGTTAATATTACCGTTATACGCGTAAAATGTGATGAAAACCAGCTTTGCAAATGTATCCAATTATATAAATGAATCTGTATATACTTGATAATATCATATTTTCGGAGAATTATTTAATTGAATCCTTTAAAGAAAAAAAAATTAAATATCTTTGTATCTCGTATCGTATTGTTAGACATATTAATTTAATTATCATGGCGCTAATTAATGTCAGATTTCGATGCTTTTCTTTTTGCAGAAATCAAGGATCCCTGCACGAAGCTGAACTGCTCGCAAGGCTCGCAATGTGTGCGAAGCAGGGACGGCAAGGAGGCGACTTGCGAATGCTTGGAATCTTGCCCAAATTTGGGGGATCACGAGGGTTCAGGACCTGTCTGCGGCACGGATGGGATTGACTATCCGACGTTGTGCGACCTAAATCGAGTCGCCTGCGCGAAAGGTGCTAACATCACCGTGGCATTTCGCGGTAAATGCGGTAAGTGTTTCTTCGTGTATATGCTATCTTGCAAACGAAATCTCAAAATGCTGTTAATACGGGAAGCAAATAAATAATATGTCGCTGCAAAACTTATTTGTAATGCACGTAACAAGACTGTAATTATTCTATTCAAGATTCATACGGATAATTTAAAATATGTAGATTTTGGGATATCTCGCTTTTCAAGCGCAACTTTGTAAAGCACAGAGGGATATTATATTTATAATATAAAAATTAAACGTAATTATAAATGTTATACGAAATAACATTAAATACGTATATATATTATAAAATGAATGAGATTGACATTTTGATGAATAACTTACAGTTAACACACGCAGCTTGTTTTCATCAGGATTAATTTTTTTAATTAATCGTGGGATTAAATAAATCGAAAGATTAAAATCAAGGAGTTAAAATTAAAACTTAAAAACTCATGACTTATTAAACGATCTAAAATATTTTTTCTTATTAGAAATTGTATCACATTTATTTTATTTTCATTTACTTTCCGTTTATCATAAATTTTATCTTTCGGTGTATGTCCCAGAACAAATTGTGATCAAATGCGAACACGGCTATTCATTTTTTCCACAACATGTTTTGTTACAATTATTTGTACTTTGGCTAAAGTAATCATCTGTCACTCGATAGAAAAAGGCCAATTATTTTCAATAATCTCTTAAGCATGCATCCACATTTATATCATTCTTTCTCTCGATACACCCTCGCAGAATCTTCTATACAGGATGGTTCATACACAACTTTTCTTTACTTATTTTCAAATTTATTTTCCAAAATCAGAGAGTCAATTATTTTAACTCGTTAATAATTCCTTATTTTGCTTTATTTATCCAAAATTGAAGCAAAAACCATCACCTATAGTTTAATATTTAACGAAAATCTCTCCTCCAATTTTAAAGTCGACCAGACTGGCAATAATTTATTTAAAAAATTAGTTAAATTACAACGTTTCGGCTGTCATTGCAGCCCTTTTCAAGTAATCAGATTAATACAATAAATCAAATTTACAGCAAACCCCCGACAAAATTAACCATTGTTTTGATGAACAATGTATAACTGACAGAAGTGAGCACGAAAAAATAGATGTTGACTGTTAGCAGAAAACTTAGTCACACAACATGTGACTAAGTTTTCTGCTAACAGTCAACATCTATTTTTTCGTGCTCACTTCTGTCAGTTATACATTGTTCATCAAAACAATGGTTAATTTTGTCGGGGGTTTGCTGTAAATTTGATTTATTGTATTAATCTGATTACTTGAAAAGGGCTGCAATGACAGCCGAAACGTTGTAATTTAACTAATTTTTTAAATAAATTATTGCCAGTCTGGTCGACTTTAAAATTGGAGGAGAGATTTTCATTATTTATTACTGGCGACTCTTAAGGATTATCATTTATTTAATATTTAACGCTCGTATAATTAAATGACAAATTGAAGTTTTGATTAAAATAAAGTTCCCTCGATATTTAAGGGGGAGAGAGATTTTACTATTAATTTAAGTCACTTGAAATTTATTCCCTATCACAAAATGTTAAATGTTAACCGACTCCTTTAATAATTCCTTATTTTGCTTTATTTATTCAAAATTGAAGCAAAAACCATCACTTATAGTTTAATATTTAACGGTCGTATAATTAAATGACAAATTGAAGTTTTGATTAAAATAAAGTTCCCTCGATATTTAAGGGGGAGAGAGATATTACTATTAATTTAAGTCACTTGAAATTTATTCCCTATCACGAAATGTTAAATGTTAACCGACTCCTTAAATATTGACGAAACGCATCGTCGGTGAAACGACCGCTATTTCCCTTCGTAGCAACTACGTGTAGTCTAAGACATCCTATATATCTGGCGCTTAATACGCCATATTCCGCGCAGCTGTCATCGTTCGCGTCCACAGGTAGTCGTAGGCACATTCAGGAACGGGAGAGCGAACCCTTCCTCTTGCTCCCTACCACGGAAACAATACAAACTTGGCAGGCGTTTAATCAACCGAGTAGTAAAGACAAATGTTTGATCAGACAGGTACCGGGAGTAGGCCGTGTTTGCTTAGGATTAGGTAAGTCCATCCTGCGTCCTTCCCTCCGATCCCTTTTCGCTCCTTCGCGCAGTGCTCTCTCGCCGGAGCTTCTTCGTAACACTGATATGGTAGACGGTAACGGTTACGGTAATCGCAGCCAGCGGTTAACGAGCTGGTTAAATATGTCGTCAAACGATCCCAATAACCATTAGGGACATATGCACGCAAACGACGCCCGATGTAGGGCTGTGCAAATGGCGAATTTTAAGCGATTCGATGCGAACGCGGAAACGTAGAGCAAAAGTGACCCAAGTTCATCATTTTTAAGCTTCACTCTAGAATATCATTCTATAGTGGATTAAAAAATGCGGGCTTTTTTGCTCTTGTCCTGAATATGTATATGTGTGCAATTGAATCGAGAGGAATTATTCAATTTTGCTGTTAACAGTCTGATAAAGAGCTAGTTAAATATGTCGTCAAACGAGATCCCAATAACCATTAGGGACATATGCACGCAAACGACGCCCGATGTAGGGCTGTGCAAATGGCGAATTTTAAGCGATTCGATGCGAACGCGGAAACGTAGAGCAAAAGTGACCCAAGTTCATCATTTTTAAGCTTCACTCTAGAATATCATTCTATAGTGGATTAAAAATGCGGGCTTTTTTGCTCTTGTCCTGAATATGTATATGCGTGCAATTGAATCGAGAGGAATTATTCAATTTTGCTGTTAACAGTCTGATAAATAGATCGAGATGACTAACGATCCGGAAATAGCGAGTTGGTTATAGTTGCGGTCGGTTAAAACTGCAATTTTCGCGCGTTAAAAATTGCACGGATACGAGTAAAGTTTAAATGGACGTTTTTTGAGCAAAAAGTACGGGGTTCCATGGTGAGAACGTCGAGGCCGAATTGCAGATATCTCACGGGGGATCGCGCGCAATAAATCCTACGAGCGTGTAAAGGCGATATTTGAAAATAATAATCCTTGTTGCCGTATGAAATAAATCCGCGGCGCTCATCGGCGTATACGATCTATCTTCGTGGGGCTTAATAACGGCCAACGATGTACATCATAGGGAAAAAGGAAGTGTAATAGAGATGTAGGAGGGCCAAAGGGCGCCGGAAGTTTACAAAGACGAACGTCTTCCCTTTTCGTTTCACTGTTTCTGCCTTCGTATTATATCGGGAACAATGAAACGCAATATCCGACCAGGAATGGTCGAAAGGGAAGCGGTTCGACGGGAAGAGAAGAGAAGACCCTTCAGTTAGTTCTCGTCGGGCGGAAAGCCTAGTACAACAATGGCAGTTGGCCTTTTATCAATCGGCGCCAGTTGCGATCCTTTTAAACACGCCGGAATCAATAATAAATTCTCTCGTAATATCTCTCCCTCTCCCATTCGCGAATTTCTCTTATGATGAAATGAAGGAGGAGGAGGTGAGAGTGGCTCGAGGCATGAATTTGAGAGAGAAGTGACGGTACGGCGATAAATCAAATTAACTCCCGAAAGTTTCGAGACTTTTCGAATCTCTCCCTCTTCCGACGCGCCTACTACTATTTCGCGGTCGTGATTGGACGGAAACGGAGCGAAGAAAAAGAGCAGACGAGGTCGAACGTTTGCGCGGTTCGAATCTGTGCAGGAAAATGAAAAAAAGTTGCTTCTCGTTCAAGTAGCGTCAAGTAAGCCCATCATAATTATCGATTTCTGGCACAAGCTACTTTTATTAACATCTTAAATGTAAGGAAAAATAGAGCATGATGCTGGAAAATATTTTTAAAGGCGACTAAAAAGGAATAGAAGAAAATACTAACATTTTATAAAAAAGAAAATTCAAGATCGGATCAATAATTGAAAATAAGTTGAAGATTATTTGTTTTATTTCTCAGAGTTTATAAATACTTATTTTTTCCTACGCTCTAAAATTGCAATACATTTCCGTATCGCTTTGTATATCACGCGATGGCACTCGATAATGATGACTTGATTGAATCTTTATTTCTATTTCTCCAAGAGATATCTTCTCGATACATTTCTTCGACGAAACAAATACACTGACAACATTTCGCGAATGAAGAAAGGCGAATCTTTTATCATATCTATATATCATTCCATTCTATCATATCTCTATCAAGCTTGACACGTTGCTGCTCTCTTCTTCTTCCGCAAGTCACGCATAGAGCCACGCGAAACAGATAAGAAAACGAAGACATTTCCTTCACGCTCGAACGTGCCGAAATAAGGGCCGACCGGGAAAAGGTAGCGGTCTCGGAGAAATGGATTCAACTAAATTCTCACACTCGTCGAGCCAAACTGAGCGTAGGTGCCGAGAAGAAGAACGTTAGTCCCTATACGAGGGCGACCAAATGTGTTTATCCCTTTTGCAAACCGAGTTCAACGAGCCGGAAATTTCGGCGCGGTGACAGTTTGAGGAAACGATTTCCGCGTATACCGGATGAGAAACGCGTCGATAGCCGAAGAAAAAGGAAAAGAGCACGAAACCCTCTCTTTTCTCGCCGGAAACAATCTCGCGCGCGAAGGTGCGCTAGTTGGCAAAAAACGAGCGGATGTAAGTAACGGCCGCAATCGGTTATCGATGATCATGTAAGTGTCGATAGCGGCGAGATTGCGCCGCACCGGTTAGTGGCGACAAGAACGAATGTTGTCGTCGTTCAAAATTGGCAGAGACAAACGCTGATACTCGCTCGCCGTGGATTCGATTATAAGAATGAAAAGGGAGACGTCTGTGTATTGCACTCATTATCTGAACGCGTTATCATGCTTGATGGCTCCCGGAAATATTATCGCGATAAAATAGATATATTAATCGCGTTACGATACCATCTCGTTATATCGATCTGACAAGGTGTCGCCCGAAAGTGGTTGAAAATAACGACGACGCAAAAATTGTCGGGAGAAAAAAATTCTCATTTTTAATGCAAAAATAGGTTATTGACGATCACGTGACGTCGATAGCAAACTTGCAGCAGTTGAAAGAGATAAAAAACCCGAAAATGTGGAATCCTAGTTAGAAATTGGTGAATGCAATAGGATTCGCATGTTTTTTTTTTTATATTGCCAGTCCAAATACTATCGAAAAAATGTTCACGTGAAAAGATGCAAAGATCAATAATACGGGCCACATACTAAATTTATTTAATTATAAAATATAATAATATATATAATGACGGAATATAATATAATACCCTGGAATTTAAATAATTTTGAACATTTCATAAATTTCCATACTTTCATAAATATTTCAAATTATATTGAATATAAGTATTAAATATTTGATATTTCGACAGCGTTATCAACGTCAGTTGTCAATCGCGTTTCAAAAATATCAAGCTAGCAGCCGTTTTCATAGCTATAGCTGATGCTCGTAAAAAACTGATCTTTACAGAAGCAGGTGGCAATTTGTCCAGTTTGCTGGCTCAAACTTAGTCGAAATTTTACATCACCCGCTACATCGTAAATTGCGTTTTTAAACTGACATACCTCCTCTTAGGCTTTCATATTTATGCTTTCCAGGTCTAAGTAATGCGAGAGGAGAGAGAGAAAGAGAGAAATTCACGATGTGGTTGATGCGAGAAGCGTGGCTCGAACGGAAGCGGAAGATGGAACTATATAATACATCAAGCCGGATGCATCACAGAGATGTTACTTAATATAAACCCAGTCATTGCTCTCTAGACATAATAATAATAATAATACCATTATACTCGCGCGCGTGATATCGAATCGTATCTCGTCACATCCTCGTCGTATTTTTCTCAGTTTCTTAGAGTCACGGACGAAGAGGAAAGCATCGAGATATTTCTTGCGACACGATTAAAGGATACGCGGAAAAAGAAGAAAATCTTGATGAGATTTTAGCGGCTTTATTAAATATTATAGCTTGATGTTATAATCCCTTGCTCGCTTAACACGCTTTTTATTACCAATGAGATTTCTTGTTATTGCATTATACCTATTCAATTCACGTGTCCTCTTTTTAAGTCTCTCCCTTATAAAAATATTTGACGAAAGTATAATTAATAATATAAAATGGCATATCAAAGAATTTCTCTCCCGGCTTCGTCACGATGCATCTTTTCGCGGAAAGACAAGATCTCTAAACTGTTAAATTCGTAAAGTTACAAACGAGATGGAGATGATGTTGACTCGCTCTGTTCTTGGATGAAGATGACGGACAATTTACAAAGCTCTTACCGAGCGCCGAGCGATTTTGAGATATTCCCGTTTGCAGTACTCGTGGAATGCAGGAGAGGTATGCGCGCACAGATCTGCACATGAAAGGAAGGCGACTAAAAAGGATCGATATTTGCAGTTGCTTTAGCGGAAGTAACTAGAATGCAGACACTCTCGCCGCGTGTGTGTACATAAGTCGGTTACGAACATCTTTCATATCTTGGAAAATCATCTCAAGCTCGATTTGTACTCGATTCATCGATAAATCGAAAATCTTTCAAGACCTTCCTCGAGAGTATTTATTTATTATTATTATTTTTTTTTTTTTCAATTATTTTGTGATATTACACGATATTGAAGATAATAATGTGTATTTTACGCGATTAATATATTTTATGAAAATGATTACCGGCAAGCAAATTGATATTCCACGGTTGTCACTCGGCCGTCTCCGTTAAATTAGACGATAATTCGCGTATAATACAAGGAATGTACGAGGACCTCATCAGTCACTCGGCTCGCGATACATCGCATTGCATCGCCCGTCTTTGCACACGTTCCACGGGAGATTCCCTATCGTCGAACCGGGAGGTCCGTCGTCCATACTGAAAAGGTCTTCCAGCGGCTTTCACGTCGTGCCACGACCCGATAATACAAAGAAATCCACATCAGGGTAATGTCGCGTGAAGTTAACGCTCCGGCATAACCGCTCCTCCCTACCTGCTGCTCCGGATCGTGGTCGGTATTTCGATGAAGGCTTGCAGACGGACGGTAGAAAAGAAGAAGAAGCGGGGTGAGAAATCCCATTAAGCCGGAGACCTTGAAAGGCACGATGACATCGTTTTCTCTCTTTCTCATTCGATGCAAGTAATGAAAGTGATACAAGAGTTCCTCTCGATCGCGCTTCCTGGAATTACGATGGAGAGGAATTTTTCTGTCATCGATTAATCATCTCGAAACTTTTGAATAAAAAATAGATATGTATCTAAAATACGGGCAAAGAGAGAAAGAAGGAGAAATCTATCTCTCAATCGCGAGAAAGAATTGTTCCCGGAAAACCGCGATTATAGAATGATGACGATGCGATTATGAAATGACGATGTTTTTCATCTCGGTACGCGGCAGTGCAACGATACTTCACCGAGATCGATTAATGTTGAGTTGAAACTGGCTGGTGCACAAGCACCAGCAAACGCGGCGAGAAGGGGTTGGGTTGCGGAAGGGTCGAGTTTAGTCGCTCCACTGGACTGTAACTTGAGCTAACCCCGAGAAACACCATCACCACCGCTGTCGGGGGAGAAGTTGCCTCGTCAGCCGCCGGTATAAGATCGAAACCTAGCCCGTAGACAGGAAACGGAATTCAACTTCCTTCCCTTGGTCGAGGGCGAAGATTAATCTCGATGCAGACGTATCTCCTCCACTCGGCATCCCTTCCATCTTCGTCCTCTCATCCGCGTCGCGTCGCACGGATTTCTCACTACTCCCACATGCAAATAATATCATCCATAAAGAGGAGTCGTAAGAAAGTCATTTTAATTTAATCAACTTTCGGATTAGCGGTGATTTCGCAAATGTGCAACGTAAAAACCGATCAAATGCAAATAAAATTTTCAATGCGCTCATCATTTCACTATTAATTCTTATAATTCTATTTATGAAGAAATTCCTATTATTGAGATATAATAATGATATAATAAAAATTGTTAAATTTTTTTTCATAAACATGGTTAATAATTTTCGAAGATTACTTTTCAATAAACACTTTACACACACCCATATATGCAAATAAAATTTTCAATACGCTATCATCATTTCACTATTAATTCTTATAATTGTATTTATGAAAAAACTCCTATTATCGAGAGATATATAATAATGATATAATAAAAATTGTAAATTTTTTTTTAATAAACATGGTTAATAATTTCGAAGATTACTTTTCCATAAACACCCATGTAGAGTGTAAAAAGAATACATTATTCATTATAAATTATTATTCTAAATAATTACAGATGTCTCTCGAGGGATTGTTAATTATACGATTAATTGCGATCCAATTTTCCAGATCCCTGCGGAAGCGTCGAGTGTGTAGAACCAGAAATCTGTCAGCTGGACGGTTCGAGGCAACCAGTCTGTCGCTGCGGAGAACAATGCGGCCTCGAATTTTCACCGGTATGCGGAAGTGACGGCAAAACGTATTCGAATGAGTGCGGCCTTCGACAGGAAGCTTGTCGATCAAGATTGCCTCTCAAGAAAATTTACAACGGCGCCTGCAGTTCTGGTAATACGAAATCCGCATTTTATCCGAAATAAAAAATCGATATAAATTGACGTTGGCATATTCGAAATATCTTACATATCGTGCAAGAAATATTACGATTATGCGCTAATTATTGTTACACCAATAAATAATCCGATTAAGTTTAATTAAAATTTATTTATTCGTCAAAATTATCAATCTTTTTGATTTATACTTTTCTATATCTTGAAAAAAAAACCGATTATTTTCGAAATTAAAAAAATTGAGAAATTTACAAAAGCCATACGATTGGTCGGTCATTTCGCAGGACAAAATCCGTGCGAAGCGGCCAAGTGCAGCTTTTACGAGCAGTGCGCAATCAATCGCCAAGGGATCGCTAACTGCGAATGCGGCCCCGAATGCGAGCCGGTAATGAGGCCCGTATGCGCCCGCGGTGGGACCACTTACACGTCCATGTGCGAGCTGAAGAGACAGGCGTGCCTGACGCGGAGCAACATCGAGGTAGCTTATGTCGGCACGTGCGGCTCCAGGGGACCCTGCTCCGAGAAGGTCAGTCTTTTGCATGCATCACGAAGACCGCGTTCAAAGGCTTGCAATTTCCGTTTCCGCGCTCACCGAGATATAAATGTCAACAGAGTTTCGAAAAAGAAATATTAGGTATTATTACAATAGTAAATATTTGTACCAATATTTGTGGCATTCATTTTATTCGGTAATAGTTATCAGACAATCCGAGGGAAATTGAAAATACTTTGACGACGTAGAAGATTTAGATTAATATAATTTATTTTAATATACCTGCATCAAAGTATTCAAGTTATGAATTATTTTTATCTTTATAAAAGAAATGCATAGGTATATTGACTTGAAAACCGTCGCCATTTAGTTTTAGTTCGATTTAAACTACGAACACTGCTCGGTTCACAAAACAAGGTTTGTAATTGACATCGAGTGAGCTCGCGGAATGGAAATTGCCAGATGTATTCCACGGAAATAGGAAGGGATCAAGAGTCCGATGGAGTGCGGAGAAAATTTTCTCCCATTCGCTATTTCTCCTTCTCGATACTTTCTCGATTTCCCGCAAAATTCGAAAGCCCGAGGTGAGATCTTCACCATTTCGACGAGCTCCTTCGCCAAAAAGCAATTGTCGCTAATTGGATGACACCGTGTCGGGTATCTCCGCGTGGGAAAGCTACTAGATGCTAGTACAAAAAGGAACGGCGAGAAATCGAGCTCGATGAATTTGCCAAAAAACATTCGGGTATTGAGTTTCTCGTGTTTCTTACGAATAGTTTTATGAACCTCGATATATTCTCGAGAATTAACAAACCTTTCCAATAACTAATTAATTATTCCTTTACATTTTACTATATTTTCCTTTGTCTTTAGTTTAATTAGAAAATATTTAAATGTATATATACTGTATAAAATTGTAACGTACTGTTTAAAAAATGTAACGCGCTTTAATTTAAAAAAAAATAAGAATTCTCGAGATATGCGGAATGACGATAATTTCTCAAACCGTGTAATGCAACGATATGTACGCACATATACGTATAAACGCGTATGTCCGATTATACGGTTCGCAGGTGTGCCAGTGGGGCGCAATTTGCGCAGAGAACAGCGGTAATGCTGTGTGCGAATGTCCGACTTGTCCGGCAGAATTTCAACCTGTATGCGGCGATGATGGCATCAGCTATGGCAACGAGTGCAAGCTTCGCCTGGAGGCATGTCAGCATCGACGGGAGATACGCGTTTTGTACCAAGGATTGTGCAGTGAGTACCGAAAATAGATTTTATATGCGCGTTCCCTCTTCATTTGTGAATTTGCTCGTCGCATTTTTAAAACCGTTTCATTTACATGCATTATTAACAATTTCAGATTTTAAATCATATCTGCACATGTGTGCGTGTATGTGTGTGTGAAGCAAATTTTTATAATAATAATATACATCTAAAAAAAGTTGATATATTTTAAACTCTACATTTGAGATGAAAATTTAAATGTTTTATTTTTACAATATATATATATATATATATATATACGTATAAAATTAGGATGGTTTTTATTTTTTACTTTCAAAGTTTTATTTCATTGTATGATATATGTAATACCATATATGTATATCCTTTTTTAATTTTATTTTAATCTAAACGAATGTAATTACGCACGCAAAGCGAAATTATATTACTCTTCCATATGATAAAATATTAAAAAATGCAATGCATGCATAGGAATATCTTAATTATGCAACGAATAACTAAATAATTATGCAATGCGAACAAAAAATAGATTTTTCTACAAGATCTTTCGATCAAAATACCTGTGCTTCCATTAGACTCACGAACCTCTCTCTTTCATACGTCCACTACGCTGCGCGTCTCGCGCGAGACTAATCTTCACTACAGACCGCACGACTGCGCAGTTACCAGCTAACGACGAAGCTAACTTCACAAGAATGAAGTCGAGAGTCGAATCACAAGTTACAGTATGGCGGCCGAGCGCGGAGAAGCGCGCTTCGCCTGTGTGATTAGACCTAAAATCAAATCCCTTTTCTTTCCTCTAAATATCAGAATCTGCTGTTTCCTATTTGCAATATGTATGTATATAGAATTTACTTACTCTTGATCAAAAGTTTTTTTCGAGCTTTCTGCCGAATCCATTAGAATGTTTCGATTAAATAACGAGAATCCTGTGCCTTCATGATTGAAAGTAGAAAAAGGACCATCCTTTTATATATAATATATATAAGGATTTCAAATTTATTTTATATTATTTTATATATATACAAAAATAATTGTTTTTGTTGCTTTAAAAGTTTAAAGTTAAAACTTCTACGTCTAGCATTCTTTAGCAAAGTAAGAAGAGAAAGCACATGAAAAGATTAGATTCCAACATAGCCCGTTAGAAAAATGTAATGCAATTAGTAATATTAACTTTCGAGCAATCAAATTCCTCGCGCATTCCTCGAATGTATTTAAAATGCAATTTTAATTTTCTAATTACACTTTCTTTGTGCTTCGCTCAATATAATTTTGTATCCCATTCAATCGCTCATTCCGAAGAAAATATATTGCCAACGAGAGAGAGAGAGAGAAAGAGAAAAAAAGAAAGCGAGAGAGTTAATCTCTTAAATAGGTTTCCTGCGAAAGGCACTTCAATTAATCACATCAAATTCCGGATTCCCAATTCGCGACGGGTTGTTCCCGCGTATTAAGCGTCCTCTTATCGGCACTAGTATCGAGCACGGAAAATAATTTCCAACTCGCGACGCGGGAGCGTTAAGAGAACAAATCTGTGATTTTAATATGCCGGAGTGGTCGGACAACGAAGGGTTAATATACGGTCGCGTAACCGCGCCACCGGCACCGGGCGGTAACTTAAAACTTGCTACGACTAATTTGAATATCCGGCCCGGGTAAATTGAATTTATAACGGATTTCTGAACGGTCTTAAGTAGCGCGGCGGCATGAAACTTGATTAACGTCGATGACCTCGCGTGTTTCTCTAGAATTAGGCATCGATCGACCGTACGCCCGCGCTTCCTCGTGTTCGATACGACGCGATAAAGCACTGGGCGATCGTAAAAATTAGCAATCGTGTGTGATACGAGAAAAGAAATGTATAATTCACATGTCAAAGGATCATCTTGATACAAAGCTTTTCGTAATTCACAAATAAGCTCGACTATTTTGTTCGTCGTGATTTAATACTTTGATTCTTGCGCAAATGTATTTGAAATGGTTCACCATATATAATATATATATAAATATCGTATAATTTGTAAATAACAATTTTTAATATTCATTAATATATCTTTTTATATCTGTTATTATATATATAAATAACGAGTTTTTAAATAAACGCATGACCCAAATGTCATGTTTGATAAAGTTATACTTGGACCATACGTCAGATATTTTCAGCGATATCGCCCAGTTTGGCGTAACATTTCTTTTCTTCTCATTTCCTCGCAATAGGAATTCCGGACGATATCGTAAACAACTTCATGCATACTGCACTCGGCGATGCATCACCGCGGCTGCACGCGAACTCGCGCTATTAATCTTCATTTTATTATTTTCTACGATGCCTTTAATAACGACGCCCTCGTGCACCTTCCACCGATCCCGGGAGGGTAGGGAGAAAGGGGTGAAGGAGAGATTTCAACGACCGTGTGCTTTACGACGCTGGCCCCTACCCTGCAATTTCATTCTTATTAATCCATCCCCCTCTCCTCCTCTTCTTTTCCTCTCCTCCCACCCACGATAATCTAGAATGAGCCGCTATCAGGACCGGTGGTCTAAAAGGACGCGGATTCCTGAGCGATTTTCCGTCCTGTGCGTCTTTTCTTACCATTCGAGATGGATATCACGCTCCAATCGTCTTTCGTTTTCTACGTTTTAATTTGGTGAAGCTTGTGATAGAACATACAATTCCCATGACGGATCATAGAAAATAAATACGCCTTTAACAAATAATAAGATGCAATTTAATTCGACCAAAAACTGGCTATTCATTTATTGAAAATAAGTACACACTACGTTTCGACCCACATTGTGGTCCTTTTCAAGTGTTGTTCTTATTCAGCAATTAGATTAATTAAAAATAGAAACATGAAAGTTGTCCTGTCATATCGACAATCTGTTAGCTACACAGTAGCTGCACACACAGAATTAAATTGCATCTTATTATTTGTTAAAATTTTATCACTGGCGATCAACAATTAGTTGTGTGAAGATAAATACGCCTTTTTTAACTTTTTGGAAATAAATTAAATATTATCTTCTTATTAAGCAAAAATTAAAATTGCAAGCACGTGCAGATTTGAAAATAAAATTCCACACATTATATTTGCGAGGCAAACACTCACGGGATATAAAATATTATTTCGTTTTCCACGATGGACCCCGAGAAAGCTGATCTAATCGCAATTATATAGTCAGTGCGCATTAATTGAATGTAAAATATTATTTCGCTAAATATTATGACAAAGTTTTTTTCTCTCTCTCTTTCTCTGCCTTGTAAAAACGAGGGTATCGCCGCAATTAAACAGAGGAGAGGTTCGCCTCGTCCTACCGTCTCTCTCCGGTTTCATCCTTTCGCTCGTCTTTATGGAAATCACTCGCGAATGAAGCGCTTTTCAACGCGAGACAAACGCACAACTCGACGTTGGCCCCGAGGAACGATTGCACGATGACACCTGGCACTATTCATTTCCAACGCAAATTCACTCTCGCAAACATTCCTTGTTAGTCGTACGCAACGAATAAACTATGTAGAAGTGTCCTAAAATCACCGATGCGTATTTGAAAAACAGATGTGTTTGCAAAGAGCAAATATTAAGTCAAAAACCTGTAAATTTCAGTAATACGATATTATTTCAACTTGTTGACTTTAATATAATTTAATGTATACATGCAGTTATAATAAGTATATAAATAAATTTAATATAAATATATAAATAATATATATATATATATATATATATAAAAGTATAAATAATTATCGTCGTCATATCAAATGTACAAGCAAGTAAGTGGGGTCACGTGGGGTTGTTCTCCTCGGAGATGAATCCACAAACTTTAGCAGACGTAATCGCGCGTCTTGCGCAAGAAATAAATCGCAACACATTTCCTATTTGCATCTTTATTAAAGTTTCAGTTGTCAACATAGCGCGGACATGCGCGTCCGCTATCAGACGCTAGATTTATCAAAAGCCCGCCGGCGGGGATGCGTTCAAACAGCGATTCCATCAAACCAACCATTTCTCCTCCCTTCCTCTTCTCTCCCTCGACTTCGACGTTGTAAGGCCCCGGGAATATAAAATCACGTACTCGCGAAAGTTAGTCTAAACACAAACAGTAATTTCCATCACAAAAATCTGATGAAATGGGATGCCTGGAACGATGAGAGGAAGGTGATCCGCCGGAGTAGCTACCTACGACGACGCGATGGTACCGATGCCGAGGTTTACCGAACTTTCCTCATAACACACGTACCCAGGGAACGCGCGCCCCGAAAAGATTGGATTGCTTTTAATATCGGGTGAACGCTCCGGCGACCAACGAATCCGAAATTGTGGAACGGCGAAAGAACTGCTGGGGTTTCCCAAGAGACTCGCTGGATATCGCTACTAAACTCTTGGCATCCTATAATCATACTCCATCGTGTGCTCTTCCACATTTTCGGAATTCCGGATATCGAGTTGAAGGAAAAACAAAAAAAAAAAAAAGATTTCGCATACATAATATTCTATAATAGTTTGAGTTTCGCTATAATAATAATAATAATAATAATAATAATAATAAGATCAATCAAAATTAATATTGGACGCTAGTGGTGAAAATAAACTTGGCAAAATTGATTTCGACGTAACTAGGAATTTTCATTCAATACTTTCACGACGTTTCGACCATTTGGTTGTGGTCCTTATCAAGTGAGAATTCTATAACACAATATTACACAATGATCGTTTATAGTTTGCCAAAAAAGTTGAATGGGTTGATAAAACGAGGTAAAGATTTAATAACTAATGATATAAAAACGAATGTAGTATACAAGATTAATTGTGAAAATTGTAATGCCTCATACATTGGACAAACGAAAAGACATTTATGCACTAGAGTGAAGGAACATGCTAGCAATATTAAATTACATGAGTCTAATCATTCGGTTTTGAGTAAACACAGATGTGATTTTGGACATGACTTTAATTGGAAATCACCGACCATTTTACATAATGAGAAACATGTAAGAAAGAGGGAGATTGCTGAAATGTTCTTCATAAAGAAGCATGATAATACTGTTAACCAACAGAAAGACACTGAGAATTTGACAAATATTTACGACAAAATAATAAAGATTGTTCAGTTGTGCGTTTCAAACTTAGTCGTTTGACGAAACATCATAGCGATGGTTCCTCTTTTAACTATTAATTTTAAATAAGATCGGTTTTATCTTGCGTTAATCTCATTTTAATTGATTGGTATGTTTGTGGTCATAACTTAACATTTAAATATGTTCTTGTATGTTTCAACATTGTTAAAAACTATTGTGTAATATTGTGTTATAACAATTCTCACTTGATAAGGACCACAACCAAATGGTCGAAACGTCGTGAAAGTATTGAATAAAATTGCTAGTTACGTCGAAATCAATTTTGCCAAATAATAATAATAATAATAATAATAATCGTAGGCGTTTGTGTTATTATTCCAGTCAAAGCGAGAGCGTTTCGAAGAGAGCACGCGATCTTTCGCGCGGCTTCTGCGACGATTTTCGTTCTCGCTCTCGGACTCTCGCGTCAGAAATCGAGCGGAACGTGCCGTTGAATTCGGTTTCGTGCGGGATCGCTCCGACACCGAGTTGGTTGAAATCATATGAATTGTTACCCCGCGGCATGCACGCTGCATATGCATGCGCGTTACTCCACCCTCCTCCCTTCCTTGTCCTGGTATAGTCACGCTCTTCGCACGATTCTCGTTTTCGAACTTTGTTGGAAAAACCCGAGGCGGAAGAGTCACTCTCGCCCTTTTTTTCGCGCAAGCATCATCGACATATCGGGGGACGAATCTCTTCTCTCTTTTCCTCCCTCATATCCGTCGAGGATTTCAATGAATTCCTAAAGATAACTTCGTTCTTTCCTCTCTTCCAGTCCTCCCTTGACTTCTGTTACTCGCATTTCGGTAGCACCCTTTGTCTCGTCCGCTTCCTCTCGAGCCCTCTCCCTTTTCGCCTGCAGCAGTGAAAATTCCACTCGAAACGGACGCCGTTATGCAAATACCCACGAGAATCTTTATTAATGTTATCCTGAGGCGGTCAGAGGGCGGGCCGCCGCACGGGATGGTCAAGGGATGATTAATAGCCCGAGTGATGTCACGAAACCGAAGGAATGTGTTGGCCGAATCCGTGCTAAACCTAGTCCCAGCTGCGCAGCACGATATAGATTCTTAATCGTCATCGATCTGTTCACAGATGGCTGCGAGAACAAGAAGTGCGAGTTTTACGGCGAATGCGAAAGCGACAGCATCGGGGAAGCAAAATGCGTCTGTCCATCGAAATGCGAGATTTCGGTAAGTCCTCGATTTGTCAATGATTTCAATGATGATTGAAAAGGAGAATCTCTCGATTTTTCATGACAATTTTGTGTTACATACAATTTTATTCTAAACATTTTTGAAAATTATTCAACACACGTTAAAGATGTGCGAAAAAATATTTTTGCACATTTCTATTTTAAATAGAAACGATATATTTAATTCGACCGAAATTAGCCAAGAAAATTTTTATTTTATTTCCACAACGTTTTTTGACGATCCATCATAACGATAGGATGCAGTTACTTTCTTTCAAAAATTCTTTCAAAAGTTATTTCAAATGTTTTTAAAAAAAGTCCGATAATCATATTGTTTAATAATCATGACAACAGTGTCAACTAACTGCGCTTTTATCAAGGAATTTTTCACTTGAAAAAGACCAAAAACAGATAGTCGAAACGTTGTGGAAATAAAATAAAAATTTTCTTGGCTAGTTTGGGTCGAATTAAATATATCGTTCCTATTTTAAATACCACTAGCGACGTTTTAAGTATTCAATTTCATTTCTATTTTATTTTATATTTGTTCGTACATATATGTAAGCATATAAAAATATAGTTAGATATTAATAACGTCATCGAACGCGTTACAAATGTTTGTTCTAATGAATAGCGCGATCATAAATGTGCCAGAGGAACGTGCCGCGCTTTATAGAATATTAAATCGACTGTTCAGGTTGTCTGGATTATTTAAAATTGTCATTTGCATTCGTGCCGTTTCAATCGTCGAAATTTTATAAATGTCGCGCCCTGTCTTGTTTGTATTTCCACGAAAATATAATGTCGATGTGCGAGAGAAATGGCTCTCAATCCAAGACTGACAGCCGCGCAGTCTCGTGCAAAAATTCTAACTTCAATAAATCACTCTATTTATATATATATATATATATCATACGTGCACTTGTCGCATAATAATTCCTTCAAATGTCAGATTAATTTTCATTGTAGCCAAAAAAACTTTCTTCGTGTGTATCTGATTTCTACCGCGGATTTTATATCGAAATTAATAAACGCAAATGCACACAAGCACTCTTACGTACATTTTACGCTCCAAAAAATTATCTATACACTTGTCGGGTAAAAATATAATATACATGATTATATAATATTATATTTACATTTTTAAATATTTCAAGTAAAGATGCGCGCTAGAAAAATATACAAATATTTTTAGCGCCGAACAACAGTTCAAATCTAATAAAGAGCGCAATTCGTCTTCCATCTATTGGTTGCAAACATTTTCTTTCAAACAATATTTCAATACATCTAGATCCATTTCGCGTCGATATATACAATTTGCCGAGATCGCACAGACTTTTCTGTCGGAAAAGAAATAGATTGAGTGCTATCACACGTCGCAATCTTTTTCGAGATGCTCGCGTCGATTCGCCGAGCTAGGACTCGCTCGTTAGCGCAACCGATGTGAAATATTCATACGATGATGAATGCTTCGCTCGATGCATTCTCGGCCAGCTGCGACGTTTCGCGTTTTTCCCCAAGACTGTTCGATGTTACGCGACACGAAAGTTGCGCTTCGTTAGAAATACATCGTGAGGAACGAGGGCAGGAGAAATTGACACATTTGCATGCGCTTTTCAGGACTTTCCATCAATGTTTCCTTGCGCGTGCATCTATATATATATATATATATATATATATATATATATATATATATATATAGGAAAATCGATTTATTACATCCATCTCGCGACATGAATGGTATTTTCGCGTTTCATTAGGTGGCTAACAATAGTTGGTGATTTTGCGAAATGTCAAAAATTTTACGGCGAAAACGCGAAGCGACATATTCGCGTTTTTTGTTAGAGAAATAAGCGAATTGGTAAAAGAGTTTTAATTAACATTTCGCTGGGTGTGGCGTTTTATCTCTCGATGCATGCTATGAGCGTTCAACAGTAAAATCCTAAATAGATTGTGACAAGTCACTACTGTATTTATCATCGTGTAATGCATGCAGGACGAAGCCTTTAGAAAGATTGGTACAGTTGGTGTAAAAAGTGCACTCCTCGCATCTATAAAGCCACAATAATGCGTATAATAAAAAGATGTTTCCTTTTCTATATAAGCTTTCAATAAATCGGGATTTATTAACTCGCAATTTTCAAATTTATCCTCATTCTCGCATTATTTCCATTAATAACTGTTTAACGATTTGATGCGTGCCGATACATGAAATCCGGTTCGCTTGCGGAGCTTCAATTTCTGTGGATTTATTTGCCTATCTCTCGGATCGATTTCCGATAAATAATTTTTCGTATCCGGTTGAACGCGGATATTGCAATCTCTCTTCCCTCTCTCTCTCTCTCTTTCTCACTCTTACTTTTTCCTGTCGCGGTGATCGCACACATTCAGAATGGGAGGCATGTCGGTTCATCAAGATAACGGTCCCGCGGAAAATTCAGCCGATCTCTCGATTCGCGTAGATAGGCGAGGTGGCACCGGATTTCACGATTCGTGAAACGTCCTGCTGACGAGACAGGCGAACAATTCCAAATTCCTTCGACGTGATCTTTTCGTGGTCGTCCGTGAGGATACACAGACAGGAATAAGGGATGGATTCAACGTTCGGGGAAAAAAGAGGCGAGAAAGGGATTAGATTGGCAGGCGGAGGTTTTTCCGTGGACGTCTTTTGCGGACGGCTCTCTCGCAGCTTTCCTCCGGAAGAGAAACGTCCCGCTTTCGTCATTCGGTCACGGATGCTTATCGGAAAGTATCAGCGCGATCTCTCTGGCTCTCGCAAATGGGAATTCTGGAACGTGTTTTCAAGATGGATAATACGAGGGATTAATTACGCGGCGGAGATTGGAGATTGTTAAAATTATATATTCAAAGTACAGTAATTTCACTTTATTGAAAAATTATAAACGCCATGTAATTTCAACCGATAATTAATTTTTCACGCAAATCAAATTAATCCTGCATCGGGAAGATACATATATTAAATCGAAAATATTTACGAGTCAATATATCTCTTTGCAATGGTATATAAAATTTTATACGCGCGATTCTATATAGAGTCGCGATATCTAAATCGCATTTAAAATTAATTTGACGATCTTATTATTTGCAACGTGGATTTAAGCAGATGCTTTTATTCAAAAGGCAGAATCGCGTTGTTCCGAGGGAGAACAACGCGATGGACGCATTCGCGTACAATAATCCTCTTAATGAAACACGAACCACGAGTCCGCGCGTGTACGCGGATTAACCTCAGAAAATGAGCTGACTGACGTCAATTAAACTTAACAGGGAACCAACTAAATCGTACGGACCCTCTCTCTTTCTCTCTTATGCGGAAACTTTACCGCAACCCGCATACCGGATGTGCGGATCTATTTTGAACGGACGTAATAATAATAACTACCGTCTTTCTGAAAACGGCCAAAGCCATCCGCGCGGATATCTTCCATCTCAAATTCCAATTGGATCAAATGAGAGAGCTTTTCCTCACGCGTGCATATGTCTATTCGCATAATGATATTACATTAGCTCGAATGGGGAAGAAGAGAGAGAGAAAGAGAAAATGCGAATTACTTACATAATTTATCAATTAACATTCGTGATTGCTACTGCCGAATAATTTATCGTCAATGAGTTGCTCATTAATTATGTTTTCGATACAATTTACGTCGATTAATTCAATAAATAATAATGATAATAGCTTTATATAATTAATCAGAATTAATTGAGATCGATGAAGCGTGAATCAAGTTATATACGCATTCTCGATAAAAGAGAAAGAATCATCCCCCCTGAGATTCGTTAAAGATTAAATGCATCAATCGGCTTTTACTAAAACACGCACAGCTGGCCGATGTAACTGTGAGAAAGACTCGCACGCGCGCGCGCGCGCGCGTGTGTGTGTGTGTAATAAGCAAACAGGAGGAGTCGCGAATATGACGGCCGAGCTAATTAAGTTTTGCTCTTTCCTGTGTTATTGCATCGCGCAACCCTCTCAGCCCTCCGCCTATTCCCCGGCCTCGCCTTCCTGTCCATCAAATGCACCATGCATTTCCTGCGCAACAAGTGAGAGACACACGGAGAGACCTCGTCTCTCTCATTCCCTCCTTCTCACTTTTAACTTTTAAACCTCCTTTTACTCTTTTAAATTCATTTTTTCACATTTCTCCTCGCTCTGCAGCTATACACATGTTTCGTTTTACCGTTTCTGAACGAAATTTCTCGAATATAAGGCAAGAGATTTTATTTCAAGATCTCGAAATCTGAAATTCTCTTAGTCATATCGCGCACACTTGTCATTCCCATCTAATTGTATTCATAATTAATTCGTAAATAATTATATTTGTAATTGCATGTACAGGTGAAAGAGCCGGTGGGAGCGGAAAAGGTTTGCGGATCCGATGGAGTGACCTACGATAATGAATGCGCCTTGAAAAGGGCGTCGTGCATGAGCCTGACCCTCATCAACATTAGCTACGTGGGTGACTGCGGTAAGCAACATATATTTCATGTGCCTCGGGTAAATGTGAGCTAATGCGATGAGCTCAGAGCTGATACCGCGACCCCAGATAACAACAGTCCTTTTTCTACCTCCTCCCATTCTACGAGAGCGCAATTTTTATAATCTTGATGAAAGTACTCTCTCGTCCAATAAAAAAATCAGAGAATAAAATAATATTATTTCTTTTTGTTAATACGCACATACTGATATTAAAGTTTAACATTTTCCTAAATTTTTATCAATCACGATTTCGGGTAGTTGGTGAATTAGTTAATTAGTTGGGAATTGATAGAAAAAATTAAGCGTTTGCTGTCCTTGTGAATTTACTTGCATATTCAATACAAAAGGAAATGAAAAACAAAACATTAAAAAAAATTAAGAAAGAACAAAAAATAAGAAACAAAAAACTGTTTAATTATGTCCTCTCTTGGAAAATATCCTGCGGACGCTCATGGCGGCGACCTGTGTATTTCACGAGGTAGCTAAGGAGAAAAAACCGAATGTTTTTCCAGAACTGTGCACGAGGGTGAAATGCGAGCACGGGGCGCATTGCGTGGCAGGGGTGTGCGTGTGTCCGGAAGTCTGTCCCGAGAGCAGCGGCGAGCTCGTTTGCGGCAGTGACGTGAAAACTTACCAGTCCGAGTGCGAGCTGCAGCGAGCAGCCTGCGGCAGGGATCCCAAGTTGCCGACGTTGCACGTCACGTTTTACGGCGACTGCGGCGACAGATTGGCCGTGGCGGCGTTGAGTATGTTACTAAAATTATATAGTCTAGAAATTATGTAGTCTATGCTCGCGAAAATCTCCTCGCAGTTAATTCTCGCCAATTTTATCGTAAATATTAAATAAATATATTTCTCAATAGCGAATATGGAGATTCCTTTATGTAGATTCGCGATAAAGGGAGTATAAATCTTTCGCGATTTAATTTTAACTTTGCGATCTAGCAAAGTTTTCACGAAGAATCGGAACTGCAGAGAGGAAACTGTAACGTTTGACACGCGAAAATATTTAACGTATCGAGAGCATCTCTCTCTCTCAGACAACAATCTGAGGAAAAGCCATTGCGGCTTATCGACGACAAGTTCGACGGGTCTGACGCAACGCGATTTACAGCAAGTCCTTTGAGGGATAAGGCGCTCGTTGAAGTTTCAAAGACGTTCGCACGTTTCACACGTGCCTTCTCTGTAATCTTGCTGTAAAGTTGCTGCTGCAACGTCGTCGAGTAACAGGGCGCGTAATTGAAAATAGTTTTCACAAAACGGTCGCGCAGGAAGGAAAAGGGGACGCTTATTAGAACGCCGTGATACCTTAACGCTTATACGCCAAGTATACGCGTTAACCGCATGTCATTAACAATCTCAGGTCGTCCTTTAACTCTCTAACAACGCCTACAATAAACGCGCTCTAACCGCTTCTAACAGCGACCAAGTCGACGCTCTCGGTGACTCGTTTGGCCACCACCATCGCCGATGTCACGAGTACACAGGAGCGCGAGGCCTGCAAGGACATTCACTGCGACTTCGAGGCGACCTGCGAGCTCGGACCGGACAAATTCCCCAGATGCAGCTGCAGATTCGACTGCGCCTCCATCTCGCCCGAGAATAATCGGCCCGTCTGCGGTAGCGACCTTAGAATTTACTCCTCCCTCTGCGCCATGAAGATGGAGGCTTGCCAGAGGCAGCAGGAGCTGCGACTGCGACCCCTCGATCTCTGCGAAGGTTGGGAGACACGATCGAGATAATCCTAATCGATTGACGAGGAAGGATTTGGCTTCCTCCGGAAAAGTTTGCTTCTCTCGACGCTTTCGCGATACTCTCTAACAATTAGTCTCCCACATTTCTTTACACATTTTCCCGCTAACAAGTGATAAATCAAATCGAGCGGAGCAAATTTTGGCTTTGATTGTTCTCTTTAAAACCAAAATTCATTATTGAATATATATTGATACGATATTAAGAATTCTTTATTGCGATACTTGTGCAGGCATGGAAGTCAAGCCTTGCAACGGCGATGCTCCATTGGTAGACTCCGAGGGTAAAGAATATGACTGCGGTAGTGGACCAGAACGCAAAGACTGCCCTAGCAATAGTTACTGCCATCAAACGACACGATTCGCTCGTTGCTGCAAGAAAGGTCAGCGAGAAAGCTGTTTTAGTCGTTTTATATCAAAATCGATCGCGATATACTTATAACTGTGACATTAATGTATTTTATATGTACATACATCAAATTTTCTTAAAATATTCATTTTTATAAATTAGATACATGGATGTGGATTCAGAATATTAAATTAGATACATGGATTTTAACAAAATCCCTAAAAGAGGATAAGTCTCTGAAACACGATTCGATCTCAAGATAGTTATGTCAAAAAAAAAAAAAAAAAATCAAACAATGTTTTATTTCTATCGCTTGCCAAGTGACAATTGCATGCTTCCTCTGCAGTCCTAGGAAACCAGGTGCAAAAATGCGCGGACTCGTGGCACGGCTGTTGCCCGGATGGGAAGACCGCCGCGCTTGGTCCGGACGGCGCCGGCTGTCCGAGTAACTGCAACTGCAATAGGCTCGGCAGTGTGTCAGACACCTGCAACCCGGAAACCGGTCAATGCGAGTGCCGGCCAGGAGTGGGTGGCCTCAAGTGCGACAGATGTATGCCGGGTTACTGGGGACTGCCGAAAATAAGCGAGGGTCTTCAGGGATGCATACGTAAGATTTTCGAATCTGCGCGAATCTTCCCTGCACAATTCCATATATTTATTCCGCACATATATATGTATATGGAACATTGCAGAACACGTTGTCTAATATATTTTTCTCGTTTATCAATCGATTGTTTCGATTATTTATATAATCGATCACCAGGTGTTGAATAAAGTGTTTATTTGTCTCGTGCGCAAAGAGATTTATGATTGTGGCGGCGTAAACAATTTTAATTATTCGTTGGAAAATTAATGAGAATTATTTTGTTTTTTCTGAACGTAGCGTGCGGCTGTTCGCTCTTCGGTTCCGTCAGAGAGGACTGCGAACAGATGACAGGACGTTGCGTCTGCAAGCCCGACATTCAAGGGCAAAAATGTACAATCTGCAACGATCACAACAAGATACTCACGCAGACCGGATGTTACTCAGGTATCACGCGTAAAAATAATACGTCTGAGTATTGCATTATACCTAATATTACGATATACTGAAATTCTCCAATTAATAATGAAAAATTAAATTCAAACTTTTCTCACGTCCCCTTCATAAACGCACAAACGAAGAGATCTATTTATACACAAGTAATTTCTTTCAATAACGTGACCCGACTATTCCAAAATCCAATTTCCCGGGGAATTAACATCACCCTAACGTACTTGGCGTCAAACAGCGTTTGTTTCCCCGACGTAACAGCGTTAACATCCCCGGAGATAACGAGTTTTAACGCTCTCGGACGACACCCTGATCCACCACGGCGGCTTGTCGTACGATCCGGTTCGGATCGTAGATCTGTCTCGGCGGCGCGCGGCCGCGTAATTCTATTAATTAACGCGCCCACCCTCCACTCTCTCTCTCTCTCCCTCTTTCCTAATCCGTTTTGCATCCGCAGCGGACACGATACCGCCCAGAGCTACGTCCTGCAACGAGCTGGAATGCTACTCGGGCGGCCACTGCTCGGAGATGGGCGGCTCGCACTGCGAGTGCCCGTCTTCGTGCCCGACGGACGTTCCGTCTGTGCCGGTCTGCGGCAGCGACGGCCAGACCTACGACAACGAATGCGAGCTGCGGCTGTATGCGTGCCGCCACCAGGCCGACGTGGTCACGCAGGCCTTCGGCCACTGCAGAGGTGGGTTCACTGAACGTACACCGCCGAACAGGTCGCTTTACGTTCTGCTCTACTGAGAGAGAAAACGCTACTACTCTGAGAAAATCGCTTGTTGTAAACCTTGGTAACTCGAATGAGAATTATGCAGCCCACCCTCGCGCATCTTCCCCCTTGTAGAAACGAAAAATCGACCAGCCAGGTTTGAGCTAGGCGATGCTCGATACTTTTACTAACTCTGTCTTTCGAAATAGTCGAGAAATATTGCCAAAAATTGTGGAGCGATGTTAGCAGAGAGAAACGCGCCAGGCAGGTGAACAGAATCTGAGGAGATTTGATAAACGCGTGAAACGAGAAAAGGGTTTCGATTATATAACTATGTTTGAGGAGAAGGAAGATTGCAATGCATTGTTGTGTAAACTGAACAGTTCGAGTGAACTGTGTCTGCGATTTAGCGACTTATTGAGAGAATTTAAATAATCGAAGCTGAAAATATCAACGCTATCGGGAAATGTAAATTTGTACAATAGGAAGAAGAATACTAGAAAAATGCTATTGATTATATACGGCAATTGTTGCCCTCGAAAAAAAATGAGATTCCTCGAACGACTCTAAAGGATCGTGGCCTAATAATATAGCAGACGCGCTCTGTGTAACATCGGTCTGTAATAATTTAGATTTGTTTAAATAGAACGTTGCTAATTATAGAGCAGGAATACTGGAAACAAAGTAGACAAATAGAGAGATGAAGGAAGCTTCGATAAATTTTACGGAGAAGTCTGATTATAAAAAGAAAACGTACCCAAGCTTTTGCCCTAGAGAAACTAACCAGTTAACCCACTTTGTATCCAAACGTTATAATAAACTCATCAAGTTTCTACTGACATGTATATATATATTTGTGTATAATCCCCGCAACCCGGAACATCCGCACAGCTACTACTTTGCTTGCTTTCTTATAATCTAGCACATCTCCGTCTTCGTTGTTCTCTTGTAAATAACACTTGTGATTAATACGAGAATTGCGAAAAGTTTAATCCACTTATACGAATAAAAAGCCAAGGAAGAAAGGAAGCAAAGTAAGTAAACAAACTTTCATTGAGAATACGAAATTGCAATATAAATTCTTCCACAGATATTCACGAGAGATAATAAAAGTATTATTACTGAAAATAGCACATGATTATTGCAATCATCACTATACTCGTCGGCATCAACATTTTCACGTAAGAGATATGTCAGGTATAAATAAAAAAAATATAAAGCCTTATAAGTTACACGAAATAATCAGTTTAATTAAATAATATGTACATCATGTTCAGTTATTTTTACGTTTAATTTGTAAATTATCACACGTTTGTATATTTATTGTGTATACGATTTATGTCACTCTCGATAATCTATCGAGAGCAATTATCTCCCTGGATAAAAAATACGGTTCAGTGAAAATGTAGGAATACTCGGTTTTCTAGCTTCGTTTAGCCGGAGTCGCATTAAAGTATTCCCGGAGGTGAACCGACAGCGCGTTCGCGCGTAAAGAAAGTTGGCAAACGTTAATTCGCGAAACTGAGTGAGCGAGCGCCGAAGGTGGTTTTAACTAAATCACCGCGGACTTCCAGCATGATCTCGTCTTAAGTGGCGCCCGTGGGACGTGTCCAGAGAAGAACCGACATCCACAGAAACGGTAACGTGGCGGTCCACCATTAGATCCGCGCATATAACTCTGTTATATTCCGCGAAGAGACAAAGTTTCGCCTCGCGAAATATTATTATCAGTCGCGACAGTTTTACCGATGTGAATGAAATTTCTCGCGATTAATATTATTTTCTTCCCGGGAAAAGTCTTGAAGATACAGGATTCATGGAAAAGTCTCTTTTTATTTTTCATGATGACGCGAAGATAATGAAATGTGTAATGAAGAAAATGCGTCTAATTTTCGAGACATTTGTTTCTTATTTAGATTTTAATTTCCAAGGATCGTCCGGTTGTTTCAGCTCTTCGTGTAATCGATCGCTCGTCTTCTCCCGAGAATTCGACGATGGATATAATAATCGTGCACGCGTCATTAGCGAGAGTTTCTCAACTAATTACAAACAACTTCAGGATGGCCGCGCCGATCGCGATCTAATTTCGCAAACCGTTGATTATGCCGGCATTAAATTCCGCTCCCGAGTCTCAATCAGGCCGACGAATCTAGCTCGCGCGGGTATGATAAACCACGGGGTGCAAAAAGTACGATGGAAGAGAGAGAGAGATTCTTCGCACTTTCCTCTTTTTATCTTCCTCCTTCCTCTCACACTCCTTAAGATATTCCGAGCCCCTGACGAAGTTCGCGGAGCGAAACGTCGGAATCTATTAAAGTCTCCTGCCTCACCCTATGAACCCCCGACCTCTTATTTTCGATTGCTCAGCCTCCTCTCTGTCTGTCCCTCCCTCTCTCTTTCCCCGATCTGGTACTTCTCTCTCTCTCTCTCGCTGGAAGTCAATCTCTTAAAAAGTTCTTCTTCGGAGCTCGTCCTCCGGAGTCAAACATAAATCAGATTACGCCGTCCTCGCGAACTCCCACTTTCTTCGCTCTCCCTGTCGGCGTTACTCCTCCGCCCATTTTGCCCTAGCATCGAGTATTCGCCGAGAGACTTGGCCGGAAGATCGCGGAGGTTCTCTCTCTCTTTCTCTCCCTCGACGACCTTTTTGTTCCACGTTGACGTGGGGGATCGAAGTGGAGGACGATAACGGCGATGGTAGAGGGAGACAACAGGATGATATGGGCGCCGGCACTTTGGATCCTGTAAATAATGCATGCCGTAATTTCTCGCGACGTCGAGCTTCTTGGCTTCCTGCGGGAAAGAAAACTCTCGGATATCTCCTCGGAGGGTCCTGTAAAACAGAGGATCCGATCGGTCACCGGATCTGCTGCGAGTGCGTATCTGACCCTCGCGGGTTAGAATGATTGGATTAACGATCGTATGAAACGAGAACGTCCGATGAGGTATCGGAAAATAATCGAGGGACGATGAGACACGAGCGCTCGATGTTTAATTTTTCATGTGAAAATATTCGTTCGATGAAACGTTCGGAAATAAATCGTCAGCGGGAGAAAAACAATGAATCGATATGCAACGTCGAAAGTCAACATCGATATTTCATATATATATCTCGAGATAATACGGCTCTGATATAAATGTGCCAAACAGTTCTTACGATATCGGGTCCTTCGATTTAATTATTAATTAATCGAAAGCTTCGCTCGTTTTTTAAGAAAGTCTTATTCTCGAATCCGAAGGATCTCGATTATTCGCGAAAGAAATTGCGGAAACTATAAAAGATAGATTAATTCGCTGTAGCGCATATTCGAGGTAAATAATAAAGAAAAGAAAATCGTTTGAGAAATTCCGAATCGATACGTGATACATCAGCTTTGTTACATCGTTGTGTACCAAAGCGCAGCATCGCTTTAACGAAACAACGTCTCGATAATCTCCTGTATCACATAGCTGTAAAAGCGTTTGATTAAAAAAAAAAGTTTGACAAAAATATCCAACGGCGAGCACAAAATGGGAAAAGAGAACAAAATAGATTCGCCAACTGTCGGGTCGTATTTCCGCGAAGCGCGTCCGATCTCTCACATAGGTTCTCTCCGAGTCTTCATCCCTTAAATGGACCAGAGCCATTCCGATGGGAAAAGAGAGAGACTGGAAAATATTTGTAGCCGACGACAACGGGAAAAGCTCGTTCTCGCAGCGTGGAAGTAAATAAATGAATCGATTATACGGAGACAAATAAGCGGGTTGTCGAACGCGAGAGGATGGACTCAGGAGGACGAGAAGAGTTCGGAGTCCAAGGAGAAAGAGAGACAGAGGGAGAAAACGAACGGTATAGGAGGATCGAGACCAAAAAAAATGCGGAAATCCTCGACAGGCAATAATAGGAAGCAATGCGCGGCAATTGGAAAGTAATTAAAATCCCATCAAGAAGCCGCTGCGATTCCTGTTAACAGTTTCGCTTTACTCCGAGCCGATAGAATTAGCTTTTCGATTTTCATTATTTAAAGGAACTCCGTCGTCGCCTATATCGCCTTCGTCTTTCTTCGGGCATCGCTCGAGAGCGGCGAATCCCTTTCACGCACAAATGGAAATGAAATAATGGAAACGAAATAAGAGGGAAAGATATAATTTATATAATGCACCGGGAGAGATTGTTGTATGCCCCGTGGACATTGACGTAATACAGAGTTCTATTGTAATTAAATAATGTAGTTTTAATCTAAAGCATTTTAGGTACCTCTTTCGTCTAAAGATATAATCGATCCGACAAGTTAAACTAGAGGCATTTGTTTATAAAGATGCAAACAATATTAAGTATATTCTGCGTTATTTCAGTTATCTTTCTTTTTATCGATTTCTCGCGTTAATTATTTCAATTTATAATTTTCATGAAATTTTGTGGAAAAAATTTCTTTTACTTAAGAAAATAGTAAAGATAAAGCTCGAAAAATAAGGGATTCTATTTACTCTCATCGTGCCAGAGAATTATATTTTTTAAAGAAAATTATTTATACAGAGATAAGAAAAAATAAGAAGGAGATGAAGATACGAAGCAGTTGGTAGATTAGGAGGAAGCTTCTAGAAAGATTTTCAAGTTTCTCTTAAAGCTTCTGAATGTTGCTTTCAGGATCACAACTTAAATCACTACAAGAAGCTCAATGAGCGATTTCAATATATATTTTAGCTGAGATGTTTTCAGAGGCATGGGCAGATTAATTCTCTCGGAATTCTTATTTAGGGATGAACAAAAAATATTTAATTTGACGCACGATATCTTTCATCGATTTTATATTAGAAATTTCCATTCATAGAGCTTTTTCTCTCTGTAGCGCCATAAATTTGCACTATAATTCTATATACTTTTTGCTTTATCCTTAAAAATGAAATAAATGAGTCAATTATTTTTACAAATCTCTTTCCTCGGAAATGAGAATTTTATTTCAAATTTAATTAACAGAAACTCACGAGCGGAGAGAAACGTTTGTCTGTTACGATTTTATGGTCATATATGTCTCTCACAAAGACCCCGTCGTTACAACTTTTAATGAGGGAAAATTAATAATTTTATAATAGAATTTTGTACACGCACGTGGTGACAAAATACGAATTCTGTGTTCGACTGACAATGTTGCCAGGTACTTTATGTGATAAAAACCTATTTTTTTTTTTTTTTTTACACAAATGTATAGCTGATTAAAGATAATTGAAATCAGGGCTAGTAACCGATTGTATGTATTTTTTTATTTAATTATTTTACTTTTTCAGAAGCCGAAAACTGCTTCATTTAATTTCTTTTTTGAAAGAGTAATAAATAGAAACAAATATAAAACGTTCTCTCTAAAATACAAAAAAAATGAATAATTGATTTCATTTTCAATCTTTCGCCAATTCCACGGTTAATAAAAAAAATCACTTATTAATAAATTAAATCGTTGTTGCAATAAATATTTTCGGTTACGAGTCCTGATAAATAAAACTTGTCGTCGGAGAGCGCAGAAGGTAGAGAAGGAAAGAAAGATAATGCCAAAACCGGAATTCACGAATATTTTCAGACGACCCTATGGTTAACACGGACTTCCCCGTTAAGAGATACACAGCTGTACAATACACCCAACCGGCGGCCGCTATTTCTCCATTGTCCAAATCCACGCGGCATCTCTTGGTACCGGAGCCGGACCCACGATATTATTACACTCATCGAGCTCATCAAGAGACCATCACCATCGACAGAGATAATTTAAAACATGGTAAAAGAAGAGTTCCCTTCCCCGAGTCAGTTCTTTCCTCGGGCAATGTATTTTTTATCCCGAGACATGAAAAGAGCTACAAGAAATAGAAATAATCAGTCAGAAATTTTAATTCGTCTTTAGAAAAATACTTCACTCATTTCCCAAGCTTATATATCCCTTTGGTTGAAGATTTTTAAGTAGTTTTAAAATTATATACTAAATTAATGCACTTTGAGACCATATTATATTACCAATAATTAAATACAAATTTATGTAATGTAAAAGTATACGTCATTAATTTATCGTTAATTGTGAATAACACGATGAAAATATTAATGCTTGAAAATTGCTTGTAATGCTTGAAACGTGACACAATAATGAAAACTGACAAAAAACTTGATAAAAAATGAAAACTGACGGAAAAATGGAAATTTATTTTTATTCTAAATCTCGACATGAAATAATTTAAAATCCGTTGCGCATCTGTGTGTGTGCTCGACAGTCTATTTTTGTCGATTGCGAATTTTTTTTCATATATATAAATTTAATTTTTTTGGTCGGAAACTATGAAACATTCAAACTTTTTATCTTGATAATGGATAATGATGAGATTAACTCTTATAGGAATAGCCGCGTCGTATCGACCAACGCCAGCAACGATTCGAGTGGTCACCGCTCTTCTGGGTGATCTTTGTAATGACGACAAGGATTGCACAATACCTAACAGCGAATGTTTGAACGGCGGCTGCATCTGTTCCGAAGGCTATGCGGAAACCAGCGATCGGCAGGAATGCTTCGGTAAGTCGAAGCTTCGATTCTACATTCAATACTCGTTTTTTTTTTTCATTCTCCGATTAATTTTCACTGTATAATATAAAATATCCAGCCGATCAAATCTTACATCAATATTTCTCATTAAATGAACAATTATTTGAAATAAGTCGAACGAGTATTAATTAAGCATAATAATCATAATTAGGGTATAATATTAATATTAAGGAAGAAGAGAGGGAGTTAATTGAGAAAGTTTTGCGGAGTCTTAAGGCATAATAATTCACCCGAACCTCTGTGTTAATGTTCGATCGATTATACAAACTCGACTTCCATCCGATAAGTTATCAACGTTGCTGTAAATTGAAAGAAAATTAACTTACGCTTAATCTCCGTCGTCAGCCAATTACGTGCCGGTGACGCCGACCGAGGAATTTCGCGCCTGCCTCTCGTATCCCTGTCACATGACCTCGACGTGCATCGACTTACCCAGCGCGACTTTCGTCTGTATCTGTCGGCCAAATTATACCGGACTGCTGTGCGACGAGGAGATCAACAAGCGGGATTACGAGATACCGTCTTTTGACGGTAAAAGCTACGTCAGGATGAACCGGCTGAAAGGCTATCACAGATTCAACATCGAGATCGAGTTCAAAACGTACGCGGACAACGGAATCATACTGTACAATCAGCAGAAGAGCGACGGCACCGGCGACTTCGTGTCCCTGGCTATTATCGATGGGTCGGTATATCTTTTGTCGCGTTAATCCTTGGTCGTGAAAAATAATCCTTACCCTTTGAAGATTATCAACAAGCGTGTTCAATCTCTTTCATCTTGCAATTTTATTTTTTATACGATATGTACTTTTGAGATTTCTGTTGTTGAAAGTACGAGATGAATGTCTAATTGCTTATGCGCTATTAAAATGTATATTAAATTAAAATTCTGTTGCCACGATTAAATTTAGGATCGATACATCTGATCTTGAAACTCATCTAATCTCGATGTGTCTCAGATATGTGCAATTCAGATATAACTTGGGAAATGGACCTGTGATCCTCACGTCATCGGAAAGAGTGACCATGAAGACCTTCCACAGAGTGGCGGCTAAGAGATTCCACAGAGACGGGGTCTTGGTCTTCAACAACAACGAGGACGTGACCGGGCAAAGTCAGGGAGTGCTCAAGTATCTGGATCTGAATCAAGACACTTTCATCGGAAACATGCCGACTAATTACACCAAGTAATATTGCGTCATGAAATTAAGAAGAAAATTAACCAATGCTTTTGAAGATAAGATGCAAGATTGCGATTTTTTCCAAACAGGGTCTACGACAACATCGGCACCAGTCACGGATTTCTCGGCTGCATACGCGACCTGAAGATCAACAAGATCGACGTGGACCTTCACGTGGGTCACGACAAGGATGTCCTCGAGAGTTATCGCGTGAAGGAGTGCGGCGACAACGCGTGCGCCAACTTGCCCTGTCAAAACGGCGCGACGTGCCAGCCGATCTTCGAGGAGGATCTGTGCAACGGCCGGGAGTGCAGGATGTTGCAGAAGAGAGGCAGAAGCAGGAACAATCGAGGCAGCAAGGGCGGGATAAACATAGTCAGATGCCGAGGTTCTCACTGCACGTCGGTTGAGCAAACCAGGGCCAAGAAGAGCGCGAGAAAACGCTGCGTCGGGAGCAAGTGCGATTACGATTACGTTCTCAAGTACGACAACAATTACGATCACATCAATTACGAGGTGGAGAAGTACGAGCCGCCGGACTACAGGTGCATTTGCCCGCCGCAATTCACCGGCAGGAACTGCGAGGAATCCTTGGATCCCTGCATGGACGAACCTTGCCAGAACGGAGGCACCTGCGACATCCTGCCGCAGGGAGGATACGTGTGCAAGTGTCCTCCCGGTAGAACCGGAGAACACTGCGAGATCCGTAAGTGTGTTGCAAAACATTTTTTGCAATCGAGTCAAAAATTCTTTCAAAAGCACACATGTATTTATCCTCTTATTAAGATATACAAATATTGTTTTTTTAATATCTATAATTTAATTTTTTAAAAACTACAAATTTTTGTAACATTTCAAATTACTGAAAATTTTAGTGGACGACGAACTGACGGAATTCATGATTCCCGAGATGAACGGCAACGGATTTCTGGAGCTGCCTTGCATGGAAGGCATCGCGAAAGCTTTCTCCATCGAGCTGTGGTTCCTTACTCGCGCGAATGATGGTCTTCTGCTTTACAACGGCCAGTTAGACAACGGCAAGGGCGATTTTATAAGTCTGAACTTGGTAAATGGCCGACTCGAATTCAGATTCAATCTCGGGAGTGGTATCGCGAACATCACGTCGCCGGATCCGGTTAGTCGCGATATCTGGCACTGCGTAAGAATCAGCAGACTCGGCAGAGAGGGAGTGCTACAGCTCGACGATGGAATCGTCGCTAGAGGATTATCCGGAAGTCCTCTCACGGAATTGAATCTGCAGACGCCGCTTTACGTCGGCGGGGTCAAGTGAGTTTTATATTTTTATCGATTTATATTTATCTCTATACTACTTTAATCATATTATTTTTTCCCCGTGATAATATCCAATTTTTCGATATTTCTTCTAGATCTATTATCACTCTCAAAATTATATTTTATTTTTTGAATTTTAATTTATTTAGTTGACCGAAACTGGCATCACTTTATTGCATATAAAAAATTACATAACGTTTCAATCGCCGCTTGTGGTCCTTATCAAATGTAGATAGAATCAAATTATTGATGATTGCAAATTGTTCGTCTCGTCTGTCAAGTTAACCGACATGAAAAATATAATCTATGTTAAATTTGCAATCACCAATAATTTGATTCTATCTACATTTAACAAGGACCACAAGCGGTGGTTGAGACGTTATGTAATTTTTCATACAATAAAGTGATGCCAGTGTTTTGGTCAATTAAATAAATTACAATTTAAATTTTCTACTGGCTCTACCATACTAAATTGCAATACATATTATATTTTATAACACACATACTTTATATATATCGTCTATTTGAGTGTTTAAAAAATAATTCCAAAACTGAGATATTCGCGATTGCTTGACACTCTCTCAGACACCGACGAGAAGTTCATCGTCTGGTCGGAATCTGGACCGGATTGGTAGGCGCCGTACAGAGACTAATGATAAACGGCAAAACATATCAGAACCTCGCGGTGAATATTACTCAACACAACACGCAGATTTACGACGGTCTACCGTGTCCCAGGAACGAGAATCCTTGCCACAACGGCGGAGTCTGCCTTCCACTTCTAAATAGTTATCTCTGCAAATGCGCCAATGGTTATAATGGTCTGCACTGCGAATACTGTAAGTTTCTTACTTAATTTCATTACTCTATATTTAAGCTCCGGCTACATATCCTTTTACTTATTTATTTTCTATTGTTAATGTTTCTTAAATTTTTCTCTATTTACAGATTCTTTTATTTATGATAATTATCGCAAAATTTTGCTAAAACTTTATGTATTTGAATATTTTCGATTCTTATGGGAGGGAAAATATATATTTTCCCATTAATAAATAATGAATTATAATGTTATAATTGTATAAAAAATAATGAAACAACCGACACAAATATTTCTTTTAGTTATGGGTTACGACGTGTCTGGTACCGAAATATCGGAGCGACCTGTGCGTTTCGAAGGTGACAATTTCCTGCAATTTAAGCACCGCTACGGAAGGAGGTGAGTAACACTTGATTCTTGAAATTAGAATTCCGAGAAATCAAATGACCGAAACTCTAGATTGCAACGGCGCACATCCTCTGTGATGTTCGATTAGGTGCACTTGAAATTAGCAATGATCGACGCTAGTGAGAGTAGATTAATTAGCGCTCCTGATTAACGATTAAGGTCACTAACCTTCTGATTATGTAATCACTAACTAGTACTAACTCGACTAACACTACCCTCGGCGAGTACTTTGAGGAGTCCTACTCCGACTACGACTTGGAGGAGGATGTCGACTACGAGTACGACAGTTACGATTACACGGAGTAAGTTTTCTAATGGAAAGATGACTATGGTGTACTCGTTTGAGGGATAGATTGATTTTCCTGCTCGGGCATCGTAGTGATCATCGTAGCAATCCCCAATCACATCCCTGGCAACCATCTTAGATAGAACAAATTGATTGTGTAACTGCAAACGTAACTGATGTAGATTATGTAGCATTGTAATTACAGATACAATTAGACGGACAACAGTTTTTTTCTTAAACTAATTTTCTTATAACAATAATTAATAATTATCAAAAATATATATTGTAATTATGTAGCATTTTTTGTCTTGTAAATTAAAGAAATTAAATCTTCCGAAAGTGTCTGTCTATTAAATTGATTTATTAAAATAAACAAAAATACTAAAGTAAAAAAGAAAGTAAAAAAATAATAAAGTAAAATCAATATTTTGATATTTCTCTTATTTTGAACAATGTTTCTATCTAATTGTACTTTGATGTAGAAAATTATATGGATTTGTAATGTGAATTATTAGCATGAATGTGTCTGGAGGTCTCTTTAATGAATAGCTATTATTATGAACATTGTTTGTTCAGACGCAGGGGACAGCAATCGAACAAGTTCGAGTTGCGGTTAAGAACAGTACATCCCGAGGGTCTCATCGCCTGGGTGGGAAGAGGAAAGTTGGAACATTTCTTTTTGTCCTTGCACGACGGTCACGTAATACTCACTTACAAGGGCAAGACTGAGAATGTATCCGTAAAGAGCAAGGTAACGTACCATATTACCGAGTTAAAAAGAAAGCATCACCCTTTTCGTTTAGTATTTTAATTAAATTTTTTTTCTCACGTTTTTGTTAATTTTTAACTTCACAAATCACAACCGTACCATACATCTATCTAGAAGAAATCCACCTGTTTTATACATTCAATTATATTTGTAAAATACATTGTATCAATATAAATAATAGACTAATATTAAAACTTTAAATATATTTTTTTAATATTTTTTTAGAATATGACTGTCCTGAAAATAAAAATACTTGTTTTATAAGAATATTGATGTGCTCGCTTTTTACAAATTTTTCCACGAATATAATTGCAGGAAAGGGTGGACGACGGAGTCTTCCACCACATCCGAGCGTTCCGACGACGGAAAGCTTGTACGCTCCAAATCGACGAGAACATGCCCGTGAAGGTCTCGATGGAAACGACGGTGTTGTCGACGAACGGGAAGCTCTTCGTCGGCGGCAAGCCGGGTCATCCCGGCATCCGGGGCTGTGTGACGGATTTCATCGTTGACAAGCGGCGATTGCCGTTGGCCAGACGGAAGATCGACTTCTGTCACGATAATGACGTATGATAACGAACCTCGAGCTCGACGATCGCCTAAACGCCGACAACGATACGTAAACATGATAACGAATTCCGACGATAGTCAACCCCATGGAAGACTCAGTGAGCGTCCCTGCTTTATCCCAGCGCAGCGAATTAATAGACTAGAACGTGAAGTATAACGAGAAGCGATGACCGGAACAAACAAGTCAAAGAATCATGTTCAATCCGATCCGATTGTCACGTGTTGATTCCTGCCAAAATTGTACGAAGATTCGGATCATGTTAATGCAGCGCATTTCGGAAAAAATGAAAGCCTCAGTCTATGTCAGAAGTTTAATATTGTTCTTTCTGTACGATGATTAACGGAAGTATCAGAGTTACAGATTAGAGTTACAATTCTCATTCTCAAGGATGATTTTCGAGGTATTTTTGGTGAAAATTATCTTAAATCCGAGAAGAAAATTGGACCAAGACCGAAAAAACTTCAGTCTTAAATACAGTGTTACGTCTCGTTAAAATAACGAGGATCGAAAATAAAAACCCAGAATTATGACCAGCAATGGCATTATTCGTTTAAAAGTCTGACTAAGAAACCAGAGCCAGAAGGAGAACCAAAACCTTCCATTTTAAGATACCGCATGCCTACTTAAAGGAAGATGCTACGTTACCGAAGAGTTTCAGTGACTCTGTCGTTATCGCGTGTGAAATATGCGGACACTATTAGAATTTTTACCGGCGTATCTTAGGAACTTCTTGAGTACTGCTTTTCTCTCATAGGGCCATCCAATAAATAAGAAATAAGAGATTAGAAGAAGTGGTCTCACAATCTTGTGACGCAGGATTCAATCACTCGCTATTCTTCGAGCCGATCACAATAAGGTATCGAGGTTCAAAAGCTGTAAAAGAAAGCTACATAAGGATCGATCGTCTCGCGATTATTTCACGTTATATCATCGGGATCGTCGTTGCGCGGATAGAGAAGAAAAAGGAGCAAACGGTGAACTAAGTGCTACATTCTCATCGAAAGACAATAATATATTTTTAAGGTAACGAGATTAATATACATATGGATACGTATATATATGTATGTATATGAATTTATCTGTATACGCGTATGTGGCGGACGTGCGCGCGTATGCGCGTACATTTAGCGAATTTAGCGAAGAGAGAAGAAGCGAGGTCGCTTATGAAGCTGACCGTCGTGTTATAGGATCTATATACTTATAAGTTGTACTGAAGCACATCTAAACGTTTTACAATGCCAAGACTGATTAAAGCGGACGTGAACGGACGACGAAAAGAAAAAAGAAAAAAAAAAGAAAAACAGATCGAAGAAGAGAAAGAAGAAAAAAGAAATAAATCGGTGTTATGTTTGAGTGTTCGGAATAGAGAGATTTAAATGACCGTGGATTTTCCAGAATAGAAGAAAGATGTATTTTAAAGGACTTGTTGATTTATTGCCAGTAGTAGACGAATTCACACGATACGTTGTTTTTAGGTAGGGGAGGCTTTTTACAAATGCGCAAGAGAATAAATATATTATATATATAAATATATATATATATATATATTATATATATACAGACTTATATACATATAAGAGAAATCTACATTCCATTTGATGGACGGAAACCCGGGTTAAAAATTTTTAGATAGACGCTAATGATGACCGGCGTAAAAGCAGTCCGTTCAAATTCCGCGATTTATGGATTTAAAAGTCAAACATCATATTTTCGCACGCGATAAACTTATTTATTTCATTCTATGAAAAAGAGAGTAATAATTATTCAAATTTAATATAAAAGTAATAATCAAATTAAATTCAATTAATCATTTCAAAAACAATAATGATTTAAATTTATATTTACACAAACGCATTAAAAAATATGTTATTTATCTTATTTGCGTGTGTCTTGTAACAACTATCAAAAATCCATTAATATTATAATTTATATATCCTGAATTTTAATTATAATTATGAATTGAACATATATCATAATTCGAACAATTAAAATCTGACAAATCGATTGTCAGTTCCTCCAAGCTTGATTATAACAAAAGTCATTATTTTAAGGGACGAAATATTATTTTAAGAGAAATAAATTGTATTTATGGCCCAATGTCGGATTTGAACGCGAATGGACTTTCCGTGAAAGTTTTATGCCTATGCACGCTTGCATTATGTGAAAAGGCAACAAGCAAGATTTCTTCGCGTAGCAGCGGAAGAAGCTCGCGGTTGGTGAAACCGATCCCGAATAATAATTCTGGCTTGAGTCCGCGTAATCCAGGACGTGCATGAGCGACGAAGGAGAGAGCAGATGCGTAAGAGGGTGACCTGCGTAAGTGACCTGTAAATAATTTCCACGCGCTGCTAAATAACGAATTAATTATTCGTTCTAGAGAATGTACCATATACTTGTAACCGGACCTAAAGATCATCGTCACACGACCTAATTACTGTAACCAATTCACGGATTAGCCTTCGATGCTCGCGATGCGCATCATTTATTTTTCGCGTGATCCCGAGAGAGCGCATATATTACATATGCACGCATATACATATATATATATGTGTATATAAAAAATTAATACATATATGTGTACGTATACATAAAATGGACACATGCACGTCGAACTAATGATGCGATCGTGTTCTTCCCTTTGGACAGATTAGCTAAACGCCTAAGTTAATTGTAAATTTATTATCGTGTACAACCCCGTTGTTGATAATAATTTACCTAAGAACCGTCAAACGTTTCCATCCTTACCTGTTTTAACGAATAAAATAAAGTGTATAGATACACAGAATAAAGATCGTTAAATATTATGAAGTTATGAGGATAGATTAAAAAATTCAAAAAAAAATCAATAAAAAATATTCCCTGCAGTTAATCCTTTTTTCACGCCTCTTGAAAAATTCGTAAAAATACATGACACGGAAAAATCTTCCATTCGCGTAATTCTCGCAAAGCAACAATGCGCGAGTAGACGGACAACGATTTGAAATAAACGAGACAGGACAAACTGGAAACGTTCGGCGGTTTACGGATGTTTACGTGATTACCATTGGCAATGTGCGAGCGAGCGGCGGAAACGCTTCCTTCCGGTCACGTAAATGTCGGAAATAAGATCGACGCGAGGGGCCCTTCGAGAAATACCAAGATGTGCTTCTGACACGTGTGGTTCGACGATGCGCATTTCTACAAAATCCTTCGTAAAAGCGTAAACGTTGAGAGACACCGTCGAATATTTCGCTGTTTTCTACCACCTGAGACTTATAATCTATTTTAGTCGCTGGTTGCGCAGTTAAAACCGCTATAAAGCGCGTTATATTACGATTGCCAACATTGCGCCGAATCCCGAAGAAAAAGAAAATTGATTAATGTGAAAGAAATGTGTTAAAAAGAATGAGATTAAACGCGTAAACTTGCAGTTAGGAGCGCAGTAGAAAACTCAGCCATATGGTCAGACACAAGGTATATCGATGAGATCGATACATCGTACAACATTGCGATACTTTGAAAAATTGAAGAGATAATTTCATAAAGTAAAGAACAATTTATCATACTGCGAGATGTCACTAAACCGGGAAGTCTTCGGGATAAAATCACGCTGTTGGCAATCAAACTTAATGTAACTCGGTCTAAGAAAAATGCTAGTATCATAGTGATCACAATATAGTCAAATATTGGCGAATGTTACAATAATTAACCCACGAAGAAACAACGATTTCTCGCTTCTGCAAGAAGCAGCATCAAACGATCGATAAAATTACGTAACGTCCATAATCGCAACGTATATCGATCGTCATCATAGATCATTTGTTATAAACATGTCCGGAGACAATGTATAAAAGGCTTGATTCACACAAACAATGGGCTCAGTGATGCTGCAAAAAAAGTTTCACATAATGTGTCATAATAAATAAATGTCCCATTTCAAACCTAATCTGGAAAATATATTTTAAATTAACGAATATGATTTAGATATAAAAATATTTTATTTATATACATAAATTTATATACATAATTTAAAGTTATATTTATAATATATACAAAATTTGTGCTTCATAAAATGTAACACTTGCATGATTTCTATTCTAAGGTTTCTCCTTATTTCTTAAGATATGAATTATTTAATTAAATTTATGTTTTTATATTGTGAATTTTAGAGACAAACATAACAATAAAGTTAAAATTATGTTGTAAAATTATAAATCCTTTACTATATCGAACGCTATAATCATTAACTGTACTAATGCTTGAGTTAAAACTATTATATAATAAATTATATAATTAAGTACAAGTAATATATAATAATAAAAATAATAATATATAAGTAATAATAATTATAAGTTAGAATACATGTTAGAAAATTATTTTCTTATGAGTGTGTTAAAGACAAGTAGCACTTTTGAAACTTTCGAATATGTCAATCCAATTTAATCCGTCCCTGATAGTGTGAATCAAGCCTCATTAATTTCGACCCGTACTGACATTTTACATTTTGCGCTAAATGTGTCCGTTTAATCTATCTCTCGAAGATCATCTCTCTTTATAATAACAATTCGAAATAAAATAGTCACATTCGACGCTAAGTGTGAAATGTCAATGCGCGGCTTGAAAAATACGCTTACGTGAAATTACGATGAACATCGTCGGATTTCTTCGATTCATATTCGAACATGCTTTATACACATATATGTCGTAGTATATTTCACGATTCTAGCTACTTCGTGAAAAATCGGGAAATAGTATAAAATACAATGAGATGTATTAAGGAAAAATCTCCAAAGCGAAACTTCGCAAGATTATATGTATATCGCATGTGAGACATATCATTATAAAATTTTGACCATTTTGTCACGATTTTTCACGACTTAATTAAAATTGCGAAATGCAATGTTTCTACGACATATCGATCGATTGCGATCGCTGTCCCAGAGAGAGAGAGAGAGAGAGAGAGAGAGAGAGAGAGAGAGAGAGAGAGAGAGAGAGAGAGAGAGAGAACCATATCCGTGAACAACGCGAATATTAATCGCGCGCAATCTTCGCATACATATCTTCTCCCATCTCCTCTCCCCCTCCCATTCCCAATTTTCGATATGCAAATTTTTGTCTTTTTGAAAAGTTTTATATCCTTCCCGTTTGTCTTATCGTTGACATATCGAAATGCACCAGTATAACGCGAAGCCCCGCGAACGAGAAGAAAAAATTGAACAAAAGAAACGCAATTGCTGAACATCTTTATTCTATTGCACTTCTTGCTCATATTCGTAATCGGAGATGACAGAAGAAAAGAATGAAGGAAAAGTATATTTGCGCTTCTCGAGACTCGATGCGCAATGAGCTGCAAATTAAATATTGAAATACCTTTTTATATCTTCGCAAAGAAGCATTTTTACTTTTTATTGATATTTTTCTCTTTTTCTTGGACTTATTCTAGTTTCCCGATTGCGCGATAAATTGAAGAAACTATATACTGCAAATAGAGATATATAGTTGTTAAAATTTATTCAGTAAATAGAATTACCGAGTCGAAGGGAGGCGCGGACAAAGAGAAGGAAATTAGCTTCCGTTGCAATATACGACTAACGCTAACTGCCAATATATAGAGATAGAGACCCGATCGATGTTTTTCCTTGGAAGAAGTGTGTACATTTTGACGATCGAAATATTCACGTATCATCGAGTGCTGTATCGAACTTGCTGCCTTTGAACGTGCGAAAGATTCGGCCTCCTATTCTCACCGCCTTGTTTGGTGTCAAAGATGCGGCATAATTATTGCCGAAGTGTTTCGAGTTCGCGAATTCCAAACTTTCTCAGACCGAAAGGGTTTTGGGAACGAGACTCAAACGATTGCATCAACTGGCGCTAAATACGCGATGAAAATACGAGGCTTCAGTCTGTCCTGCCCTATCTCACGTTGAGGAGGTTTATCGAGCTTCCGCTCGGACGGACATTGAATACCCCATTGCAGCGTCGTCTTTTTCGCGCGAGAGATGTTGTACGCCGCAAGGCGCCTCTCTTATTAATTATTAGTTTCTTTTTTACTTTGATATCGTCTTTACCGAGATCACACACCTGGCGTTCGCTGACCTAAAGTAATCGAGCTACACTGTGTAACAAAGTGCGCGTTGTAAAGTGACTGTATATACAAATATAAATTATGCAATTACCTTGCTCTTTGCTTTTACACGTCTTCTCTTCTCCTTCCCTAAAATCCACTCCTTGTGAAATGCCTGCCTTGTTTGGCTTGAAAAAGAAAATATATACTGGAGTTATGTAATATATTACTTAAGTATCTTGCATTTAAAAAATATATGTGAGATGTATAAATTGTCGAAATGTCCTTAAGAGAGATAAAGTAAAACAATGTGTAAGATATATTATTAATTATTTATTACGCGCTATATTTACAAAGATGATTGTCTCAAAGAAAAGTTCCATAAAAATTGTATTAATCGCACTGATCACATTACTAATCGCATTTAACATATCTCACTTGCACTACTCGTGAAATATTCAAATTGATTTTCATATTTCATCATTCATTCAGTCTTAACACGCAAAACCCAACGAGACAAATACAACAAATCACATATTACATAATGGTCATTTGCATTACTATAAAATATAGGCGAATAAATACAGGCTGCGAATGTTCTTTCGAGAATCAATGGTATTAATAGACTTAGAAAATAATAATTATATTTAATAATTATATAATAATTATTATATAATTATTATTAATTTATTATTTTTATTAACTGTCCAGTAAATCTTGCCGGATTTCTTGACGTCGTTGATTATATTCCTGACGAATTTCTTCAATAGGCTTGACTAAAAATATCGGCACATCGTCGTCTCTTCTCTACGAGAAAAATCGAATTTACATTATTATTAATTAATTATCATTTTTTGTTACCATTAATTTTAGATACAAAAAAGATATGAATAATTAGATTAAAAAATGATTTATTCTCAAGCCGATTTACCTGGAAAAGACATTCGCCTTCAAATTCTAAATACTTCTGCTTCCTTGCCCTCAATAACAAGCCTACGCATTTACTACTAATATTAGTATAAATGTTGAAGATGTCACCGAAGGTGATGGCAACTACGTCGGGCTGATCTTGGCAGGGTGTGCCTTCGTGACTAATAATTTCACAAAGCTCCAGGATTTCCTTCAATATATGGGCATTTGCCTTGCGACCACGCAGATCCGACAAGGAGCCTGCCTCTGGTCTGAAGCGAATTAATATATAATAATATCACGATTAAACAATAAATTAGTATTGATGGAATGTATCGCGTTAGAAAAATAGAAAATTTCTCATTAAATGACAAATCCAATTTCAAGTACCTGCCGTACTCCTCTTTGGAGAATTTCGGTTTTTCAATGTTTAGGCCGGACGTGAATGGATTTTTGCTCTGCTTATCTTGGTGTTTGCTGGCATATTGATTGAACATAGCCACCTTGGCGCCCAAGGATTCCTTCAAAAGTGGTATGAAGGAACATTTATTTTTAATTCGTTATTTTTAGTCAACTTAGTGCGTTAGTTCACTTCGCAAATTGCTCGCGTAAAGAACGATTCTATACAATTTTAAATTTAAAGGATAAAAAGAGGCATAATAACATAAATGTAAATTCCTTGAGAAGGTTTAATTTAAAATTGTTTGTAAATTGTAAAAGGAAAATGTGCATAGTCAACAACACAGACGTCAATGAGTTAAGTCATTCGATGCCTAATAAGCCAAGAACTTTTGAAATTCTGCCAATCTGAATATATGGATTGACCCTGACCATAAAAGTGTGTGGCATCTTGACAAATTTTCACCGGTTATATCTGTAGTTACATTCATTCGTACGTATTCGTACCTCTTTATTCATTCGTTTCAAAAGTTGAACTTTGACTATCTACTCGTCACTTACGGAAAAAACCGTAAATTTGTAGAATTGTCACCTTTTTAAGACAAATGTTGCATTTTTTTATTTGTTTTAGTTGTTAAATATTATAAACTTTAAAACATAATCTAAACAATCGCGCACATATAAACATTATTTATTAAAAAAATACCACAAGATCCATTTATATACTTATATAATTCTTATTCTTTTATTTTTAATATAAAATAATTTCGTATTAATATTTAGGCCTATCTAAAAATGTTCCTTAAAATAGCATTTCATCCAATTATATATTGCAAGACCCTGTTATCAATGAATGTTTCGATAATGCTATAGCTGTGCATAACTAAAAAAAATTCGTCAATACTTACATACATTGCCGAAGACATTGTAACTTGAATTTTAATCCAACAAAGGTTTAAAAAACAAAATGAACGTCTTATAAAAAAGAAGAGTATTTGATCTAAGTGATAAAATTGATTTTCAACCGACACTGTCCTTCACTTCCTTTTCGATATTCCGATATTATGACGTTATGTGGCGAACTGCCGACGCGAATACGACGTCGCGGCGTCGCGCGACTCTTTTTATAAGAAACCGAGAGGCTCCCACCTTTCGATATTTCGGCTCGGGCCGAAATATTTCCCGCATTTCCGAGCCGATTCCCGGACTCTTGATTGGCTGCCAGACGACCCTGCGCGCTCCGGAAGTGATAATTCCTCAAATTGCGCGACCCAGCTGGTCCGCAAATTCATTCATGTTCTGCTTTCGGGAATTAGTTCGCAAGAGAATTTCGCTGCTCTCGTTTATTTATCTGATAAACGGTCGGTGCGATATATTTGCAGGATACAGATCCTAACATGGGAACATTAATATGCATTTGCTATCATCAATTTTGCTTGTTAACTGTTCAAAAGGTTTAATTTCAAAGATCGAAAGCTTGACTGTCCAGCATTTCAATTCAAGCTTATTTCATTTAATTAATATATGCATGTTTTTTATTATTTATAACAAGAGATTAAAAATTTATTCTTAAGTCGTCGTTCATAAGAATAATTATTACACTTTTCTTTTAAATGTTCGGCTGAACATGATTGAATTTACTTAAACATTTCGAATGCGATTCAATTAAATAAAGATAATAAATTAATTTCGCGAAAATGAGCCATAAATAAGCATAAACAATACAATTATCGAGTTGTATGCGCATTTATCAAAATTAGTGGTCTTCACGTGACGATCGCGTGATCATTTAAGACACCTGAGTACATCTGGCATGAGGTGAGCAACGAGTATTTGACGCGTATTTGACGGCGAGGCGTGAATTTGATGTCCCAAATTAACTTTAACGGCGATCGGCGACTATTTGTCACTGACAGATTGGTAATATACGAGCTAGTATTCAGACGCGTATAAATCAGGGCACAGGATGTGGTTTACAAATACCTTCTAAGTTCTTATTCATTTGTTAGGATCGAATAGATTTATGGAATTCCTCAATCAAATCCTCTGTGCGTAACTCTCAGCACTGCTTTATATAATGTCTATCGAAATGAGAACAAAATCTGTTTTAATTTAGCGAAATTATAATTAATATAAAATAAAATTTAGAAATATATTAACGTATGATTGTGATTTAGAAAAAAGAAGTTATAATTTATAACTGACAATAATGTAATGCCTCAACACAATTTCCGTAATATTATTTTTGTAAGTTAAGTACGTTTCGCGAAATTTTCACTTATTACGTAGGTCGATTTTTCATTCGTTTCGTGAGAAAAGTTATGCGCGCAAAACATCGCCGGATGGCTAGCCATAAAGGGAGTTTCAACGTCAACAAGTTAACGTTTATGACGTCGCATTCCGATCACTTCGGGAAACGAATTCCGAAATTAGATCTTCGCGCTCATCAACAAATAAGTGCGTCACGATGCCCTTCTTATTGCAGTCCAAAAATGCGCCACTCGTGATCAAATTTCCTTTTCTTCCTTTTTTCAAAGAGAATCATTTCTTTAAAAAATTTAATATTGGAGCATTTAAAAAATTGGCAAATTTTTTCGAGTCTTTCTATTCGACGTAGATTCGAACAAAAAGGTTTGATCTTGGAGCGACTGAAATTTTTGAGATAAACTTAGATCCGGAGTTTTTTAAATGCGTTGTTAAAAGTTCCAGGGACCATATACACACACATAACGATCATCGCGCACACAGAGGATTCTATAAATTATTCCGCCGATGACCCTCCATATGACGATGACCCCGCGTAGTGAATTCTTTCGTTCTCTTTGTGAAAGAAGCTCCTGTCAGAGGTGCAGTAAAGCAAAATCTGCTGGAATAACGCAATTAGCTTAACCTAAGACAACGCGTGAGACCAAAAGTCAGCCATGTGCGTGCTATAAATAAGCAGAATATGAGTGCGGATTTGTACGCTATAACGGAAATAGAATGCTGGAGTTTACGTTAGCGATATCTCTCAATGAAACTGCGAACTATCTTCATAAATATAATAAGAAATAAACTTTAATGGAATTTTCCCTGCGAGACTTGAGTTTTCCTATTTGCCGCAGGAAGTTTTACTATATATCTATAGTTTATTGTTCTTCTGCGTACTAATAAAATTTTATATTATGGAATTGTTCGCTCCCTCTTTTGGAGATCATGATCAACGATATTTAAATTTGGATACGATGCTATTCTATATGTGATAGGCATTCAAAGCCGTCACATGAAAGCAATATTTCTTCAACCGCGATAAAAGACGCGCAACATGTTTTTGGCACGTTGCACTAAATTTCAGAGTAATTAGGCGAATCCGCGTTGACGAACTGATGTAACCGAGGCCAAATTAAAGTCATAAAATCGCACGGATGACATCAAGTTATTTCCTGAATTATCTATAGACATCTATAGTGTAGCGATACAGTAATTTAAGATTAACGAAGCATCTGTTTCTTCCGCGAAATAACAGGAGAATTTGTAATCAAGGAATCTATAATATAATTTAGTTTAAGAAAACACTTACGTTGTTTATTCAATATCGTACATGTGACATATCGAAAGGCCACGTGTGAAATTTTCGCACGTGCGTCAACGTAAGTGCACGCGCCATTGACCGATGTCAACGACATGTGGGTGTCGGTATTCGAATCTTTTCCCCGTCGCAAACTTGAGATATTTGGCACTCGTGTTTTATTAGTCACAACTGGTATTCACTCTAGCCTTCACGTCTATTTTTTTTAATTTCAATATAATCGATGAAGTTATTTTAGCTATCTTGATATTTTACAGAAAAACCAATTTCTAGAAATTAATACTCAAAAGTAAAAATAAAATAATTTGAAAATAAAGATATAATGTCGCGTTTTTAAATTTCTTAATTAGTAAATTAATACAAGGTGCAATACTCATTATTTATTAATAAAATAAAATAACTAGATATATTCTTCTTAAAATATTGGCCGCCAAAAGATTTAAAAGAAAATATAAAGTATATCATGAAACACATAGAGAGAGTTATAAGTTCCTTATTTCCAAGCTTTAGTTAGATGACCTCGTTGGAGACGACATATTTCTTTTTTAATAGTTGAAATTATATTTGGCATCCTTCCAAAGATTCTCCTTACAGTTATTAGAAGGAAGTTAAAGAAAGAGAATTTTTCTCAATTTTAATCACTCTTAATGCACATTCGACGTTTATCATGTAATAAATATTTCTGACTTAAAATTATTTATTTATTAAGACACGCGATGTAAGAATGTGTGTTATATGTATAAGATTCTATAATAATTTAATTATAAATAAGACAACACTCTACGTAAGAGGTTCATAAGTGTCTCGTCGCTACACAAAGGATTAAAGAAAGCAGGTTGCCTTGACGTAACGATCGACCTAGATAAAATAGAACATGTATTAAGTGCGCCGTTAACACGCATGTACGCTCGACTAAAAGCGGAAACCAGGAAATATCCGTGAGTTGTCAAAGTCGCAAAATTTACATGAAATGTTTACATTCCCCTGGGTTGTTGAAAATCCTAACTTGGAATATTTGATATTTTGCCGTAAACATCTCGATCCGTCTCGATTTTAATGTTTTATTTCTCGTATTCCGTTTACAACTCGTCTGGAGCCGACCGAAATATCAGTCACACGTCAAAGATTTGTTAGAAAATATTAAATATTAGAATAACGAATATGAGTCGGCAATTCAATAGCGGAAATCGCGACGCGCGAGCGTCTTTCTCGTTCCTTCTCAGTTATTTTTAGCCGACGATCGCGTTATTTTCGGCCGCGTTCGTCACGAATCCGGAACTCATGACTACTGATCATCGCTTTTAAATCCATTTTATGAGGATTTCCTTTGATGATTGTTCCGAGTTATTCGTAACAAGAGGAAACTGAATCATATCTGAACAATCTTTCCTCGGAAATAAACGCCCGCGCGAAATGATAAAAAAAGAACAGCCAGTCTTTGCTTCTTGAAGTCTTTTTATCGATATGAGAAATTTCAATAATAAAATCAATCTAACTAAAAACTTCAATGAAGAGATGATATATTAATGTAAATAAAGAAATAAAAAAATTTAAAGAGTCATGAAAAAATTCGAAAAAAATAATCAAACATAATTCAGTAGAGTCAGTAGTTACGTCCAATCATTGATCAGACATATAAAACGATATCAGTGTCGAAGCATTTATCTTTCGAGATAGCAGTTGATATACAAATTTTTATATCAACAGTACTTGAAAAATATATTATATAATATAAATAAAGCATAATTCAGTAGAGTCAGTAGTTACGTCCAATCATTGGTCAGACATATAAAACAATATCAGTGTCGAAGCATTTATCTTTCGAGATAGCAGTTGATATACAAATTTTTATATCAACAGTACTTGAAAAATATATTATACAATATAAATAAATAAAAATATGTACAAGTAGAAGATATTTTTAAAGTTAGAAGTGTACACACATAATATTAGAGAAAAAGAGTGACATTAGAGAAAAAGAATAAAGAATAATGGAATTAGACAAAGAGAAACGGCTTCATTGATAAGTTATTTAATTGCAAAATACGACACATTCGAGGACGATTCGACACTGTAGACGATTTTGCGCACTGACCTCTTCAGAATCACTATTCTCCATCTCTGAGCCGTAAAACGACCAAGCGCCAAAATTCTATCGAAGGAAATTAGGTTGCTTAATTGAATTGATTAGAGGATCTTAAATTACATTACCGCGCACGTCAAAGTTAATTTTCTTCGCGATCTTTGGAGGCAGCACTGACCTCCATCACGATGACTTTAGAACGCGGTTGCTCGATTCTATTTATGATCGTAGCGAACACGTGACACAGTCGACATCTTCGAGAATTTAAATTAAATACTATGTATTGAAGCGACAAAAATGCAATACGTCATCTTATTACTATATAATGTATATAATCTTTGTAAAAAAATCAGTAGAAATTATATTTTGACAAATAAATAAAGTAGTAAAAAAATCGTGAGAAAATTCAGTGATAAAAATCGAATATGGTCAGCCAGTAGTTATACTTGCTCGCTCGCTTTTAATTATCGTACGATATTTAAAGTAAAATAAAAGACTCTGATATAAAATATTCTAATTAAGAATCGATATTTTACTTATGCGTATACTCGCTTGTGTTTCTGTAATTTTTCGTAATATGTATATGTGCTGCCCCTAAAGCAAATATTACATATTATTATTTGGAAAAAACTTTCGTGATCATGAAAAGCAGTCTCATAATTATTATTCAGCAGAAGATAATAATAAGGACAATATACATATTTCTCATATTTATACAAAATATGTACAATTAAAATGAAAGATTGAAAAATTTCTCGAAAGATTTACGTCGCGATAGAGCTCTTGGATTTCCCGCCTGTTCAAAATGCAACACGTCCCTGCAGCTAAGTACGTAAGGTGCGAACAGGAGATCAATAAAAACTGCAATAAAGCGTGCACACGAGATACATCGGCGGCAATCCTATAATTTAATTACAGCCGGTAGTCGATGACGCTTTTCTCGCAGATTAGTCGCGAGTCGAAAAACATGTTTTTTGGGAAAGGACGGGATCGGATGCGGACCTGGGGCGCGCGAGCGTGCGCATCGGAGCGGAATGCACCGCGAACGAGCGGCAAGCGACGAGCAAGTCGTTCTTTTGTTCCCTCGCCTCGGCGAGGAGGAAAATAGACGCTCGCCGGCCGGCCGGGAACCAATCGGGAAGGGCCGCAACGCGGAAACGCGTGCGGGCGCAAGCGCCGCAAGCTCGTTTCAGATGGCACGGCAATCGTTTGTTCATCCACCCCGGGCTCTCGAGCCTTCTCTCTTTCTCCTTCTCCCAGTCGTTCACCCTCTCACCCTCTCTCGCTCTCTCTCTCTCTTTCTCTCATCGAGCTTGCGTGCGCGGCAAGACGCGGAAAGCACGTCGGAGCGGTGATTTTCCGAAGCGGAGATCCGTCGACGTCGAACCCCCGGGTAAGTAAATCATCCCGAACGACAACGAGGGAATTACTCGCCACCCTCGATCGAGGTAACGTTCTCAAACGTCAAACGAGGGAATCCACTTCGATCGGGGGCCTGCAAGCTCGAGCCGGCAAGCTCACGCGCGCCGACCAGCCAGCAACGAGTATCGATTCGAGCCGGCGCGCCGCTTCTCGGGCGAATCCGCCCTCGACTCGTCGCATCTCGTAAGCTCCGTTCGTCGCGCCGCGTTCACGAGCCGGGGGTTTCTCTCCGAGCGGGCAGGTAAAGGGTTTCCTCCGAGCGGCGCGAGTCTGCCGAACAAACGTGGACGACAGGAAAGGCCGGCCATTACGCGACGTGATTCTTCCGTTCTCGATCGAACGAACCGGTTGTGCTCTTAACGTGGAACTTTTCATCCCCGAAACTCTTCCCTGGATTACGTGATTTACTCGACCCGGTGGAAACTCGGTGCGGGTGTGTGTCGTCGCGATCGATCGATTCCGGCCGACACTCGATCGAGGTAAGTGGTACCAATTCGCCGACAATGGTCCCGAAGTCGTTGCGCGATGTGTCGTAATCGGAACGTCATGTAGATCGCATCCGAACGTATCTAAGAAAGATATCCGAGGGAAAACCTCGGCTTTCCGATTGCACGATCGGATTCGTATACGAGCAGGGAAGCGTGAGGAAACGCTCTTAGAAGTTGACGATTTCTCGATGGGATTCCTAGTTTAGTGACATCGCGAACGCGCGATGCTTCGGACCGAGTAATCGCCGATGAGAAATGGCCGCCTTCGTGGGGCTATGACTATTATTAGAAGAGGCCGGCTATGGACAGACGCGGGTTGCAATGCATTACGTGCGCAAAGCGGGCGTAAATGAAGAGGCGTTAAGGGAAACTATATAATTGCACAATACCGATTCTCTAAATGTATCTTTCAGGAACGCTTGTATCGACTTCGGTTATAATTCGATTTTTGCTCTTCTCATTTACATGTATCGTGTATTTCTAATATAAACGATAGTCTATATGACGTATTTTTATAAAAATAAAATATATACGTTCTCAGTATTGGAAGAATAATTTATATGATGAATGATGAATGATTATAGAGTGTCACTATAATCTCGGTCATCTATTTTTTGCCTTGCATATACATTAATATATTGATTTGCTGTATAATTTAATTCAGTTAAACTTTAAAGTTTTATAACAAACTCCATAAGAACGTATTCAATGAGAATAAATAAATTTAAATACCAAACACACAATTTATTTCTTATAGAATCTTGAACATTTTTTTTCTCTATTTAAAGTTGCTTGTTTCCTTCGCGAGTGACAGAAGGGTTGAATTAAGCGAATGAATCAGATTCATGTCTCATAATAAGGAATTTAGATTTAGATATAAAGAGAGTAATTATTATTAGAGAGTAACTAATTATTTTTCAGAAATTGATTAAGTAAATAATTATTTAATAATTTTTCCAAAACTTTTGAAGTCTTATAATTCCAAAAAATTTTCATATACAAAAATCGTTCAAAGTTATAAGAATTGAAGTCATTTTTAAAAAGTTATTAACTAAATAATTATTTAATAATTCTTTTAAAATGACTTGATTTCTTAAGATACCTTAGAAATTTTTTTTTTTTATATAAAACATTTTTCAGGGTAAGAAATCGAGAGTTATTTGAAAAAACTTATTAAATAATTATTTATTTGATCAATTTCTAAATGTTCTAAAAAAGAATTAGTAGAATAATTATTTTTGATTATTCTCCTTATATCAAAATCTAAAATTCCTTACTAAGAGACACGAATCCGATATTCATCCGCTTAATATAGCCCTTAACGTCTGCCTCTCGCGAAGGCAATTTTTAAAATAAACCTTTGCACCGCACCCTGCACGTAGGCCGAGATTGCTAGGGCAGTATCATACACCCTTTATTGATCTAAAAGGCGGACTCGCGAGATGGATTACCTGGGCCGCGCGATACGTTCCGATTTGATGAGTTCATCGTAGAACGCGGTCGGACTAGCCCTCTAATTAAGCTCACTCGAATCGACTTAATCGAGTAGCGAAGCTGTTCGTCCACCTTTTTACGCGGCAAATCGCAATTGCCTCGATGGGAAATGACGGCGCACACTCGATCCGATATCACTTATATTTATACACGAACGTCAAGAGAGGGAGAGAGAGAGAGAGAGAGAGAGAGAGAGTTCACGAGCCCTGCGTGGGTCTCTCCTTGAAACGAATCAATACCCTTTGTGGCGTGCAAAGGTCCTCTGTCCTCGCGCGTCAATATTTATTGCCTCTTTAACATCCGATCAACGCGCTATGCGCTCCTCTCTTGTATTTTAAAGATAAACATGAACACAATTAATTGCAATTATATTACAGTATTAAATGCAGTCTCTTAGTTTTGCTTAAAAAATCTAAATATAATTTTAAAAAATATCTGGATATAATTTTAAAAATCTAGATATAATTAAAAATTATTCTGATACACATTTTCTCTTTCAACATATATAGCTATAGATATTTTAGTACGTTATATGCGGCCTCAAGCAATAATTCTCACTCCCGCATACAATGTATTAACAAATGTTTAAATTTTTTAAGTGTTATTTGTAAAAAAAAAATGATTAAACAATTATTTATTTAATAATTAAAAATAATTAGTTGAATAATTATTTTTAATTCTCTTTATATCAAAACCGAAAAATCCACGAATCCGATATTCATCCGCGAAATTACTAATGATATATGACATTTGTGTACTTTACACGTTTAATATTGATATTTAAATTCCGCATGGTATTCAAACAAGCAGCCGATAAAAAGGCGGCTTATTTATAAAAGCACAATTTTAGAATTGTCTATAGCCGAACTATATGTAAAGACTCAACACACTAGCTTATAAAGGTCTCCCTTGAGTCCAATACAAATCCGGTTTAATAGTAAAGACCAGTTTATATGCATGCACATATTGTATCGTGTTCTACAGCGAAAAGGGGAAGAATAGACAATAATAGATTGAAATCGATATATAAATTTGTCCGTATATCTTACCTCTGAATTTTGGACGATTTGACTTCGCAGGTAACTAGAACCTCGGCATCATGGGCAAAGAGAAGATTCACATAAATATCGTGGTGATCGGCCACGTAGACTCCGGCAAGTCGACGACGACCGGGCACTTGATCTACAAATGCGGCGGCATCGACAAGCGGACGATCGAGAAGTTCGAGAAGGAGGCGCAGGAGATGGGTAAGGGCTCCTTCAAGTACGCCTGGGTCCTGGACAAGCTGAAGGCGGAACGCGAGCGCGGCATCACCATCGACATCGCCCTGTGGAAGTTCGAGACGGCCAAGTACTACGTCACCATCATCGACGCGCCCGGTCACCGTGACTTCATCAAGAACATGATCACCGGGACCAGCCAGGCGGACTGCGCGGTGCTGATCGTCGCCGCCGGTATCGGCGAGTTCGAGGCTGGAATCTCGAAGAACGGGCAGACCCGCGAGCACGCGCTGCTCGCCTTCACGCTGGGCGTGAAACAGCTGATCGTAGGCGTCAACAAGATGGACATGACCGATCCGCCGTACTCGGAGACCCGCTTCGAGGAGATCAAGAAAGAGGTGTCGTCGTACATCAAGAAGATCGGCTACAACACCGCCTCGGTCGCCTTCGTGCCCATCTCTGGCTGGCACGGCGACAATATGCTCGAGCCGTCTCCGAAAACGCCCTGGTACAAGGGCTGGAAGGTCGAGCGCAAGGACGGCAACGCCGATGGCAAGACGCTCATCGAGGCGCTCGACGCCATCCTGCCCCCATCCAGGCCCACCGACAAGGCGCTTCGACTACCTCTTCAGGATGTCTACAAGATCGGCGGCATCGGAACCGTGCCTGTCGGCCGGGTGGAGACCGGTATTCTGAAACCAGGTAAATTCGAAAAAAATGCATTTTTGAAAATGATTCTTTCAAGAAACGTGTCAGTTTCACCGTCTTCAAAGGTTCGAAAAATAGACCAACGAGAAACTTTTTCATCTTTTTAAGGTATGCTGGTTACCTTCGCGCCGGCGGCCCTCACCACCGAGGTGAAATCCGTCGAGATGCATCACGAGGCGCTGACGGAGGCTCTCCCCGGTGACAACGTCGGCTTCAATGTGAAGAACATCTCCGTGAAGGAGCTGAGACGCGGCTACGTGGCCGGCGATTCGAAGAATCAGCCTCCACGCGGCGCCGCCGACTTCACCGCCCAGGTGATTGTGCTGAATCACCCGGGACAGATCAGCAACGGTTACACGCCGGTGCTCGACTGCCACACCGCCCATATCGCGTGCAAATTTGCCGAGATTAAGGAGAAATGCGACCGTCGTACCGGCAAGACCACCGAGGAGAATCCGAAGAGCATCAAGAGCGGCGACGCGGCCATCGTGATGCTACAGCCGACCAAGCCGATGTGCGTCGAGGCTTTTCAGGAGTTCCCGCCCCTGGGCCGTTTCGCAGTCCGCGATATGCGTCAGACTGTCGCCGTGGGTGTTATCAAGGTACGATGAATTATTGCATTAATTATATTGAGAGGAGGGATAAGACTGAACCAAGTCTGCTTACGAAATCATACAAGTACAAATTAATTTTCAATTTTAAATCGATGCAATTCTCGTCTTGTTTCATAAATAATGATCATTTTTATCATGACAAAATGTATCAAAATTTGTTATCTACATTTCAAACTTGCAATTGCGAAACAGTTCAAAAATATAGAAATTGTCGTAACAAAAATTTAATTTTGCATATTTTCCTTCTAAATGAGAATCGAATAAAATCGATTTTTGAAAGATAATTATATACGAATTTTATACGAAATTCTCTGATTAATATTTACCACAATAAGATATAAAATATGTTCGATTAATTTCATTATGTACATATTAATATTTTTTTATCGCGATGTGTAAATATATGAAAAATATTAAATATATTAAATAGATGAAATATAAAATATATGAAAAATGTATTGAATATTCTACGTATTGTACGATTGGTTTCCTTTGGCAGAGCGTGACGTTCAAAGATACTCAGGGCAAGGTAACAAAGGCCGCGGAGAAAGCCCAGAAGAAAAAGTAACCATCAAGCTTCCTCGGAAGCTCGCAGTCCGGTGGCTGGTGGCCCGTGCCAGCGCCAGCAGGGCCCACTGTCAGGACGCAGCCTGCCGCCGCCGCGGTGGCTGCCCCTATGCTCGACTCATACTACTACTACTCGTCGACTAATACCAAAAGTCATAAGATGTTGTGCTTACCCCCGTTACATTACCCGGTAGTGTTGAATCCGCGCATCTATCCGAATCTGCACATTCAGTTCACCCACGCTCCGCGCACGCCTCACATATGCTAGGGGAACGCGTAGCTCCGCGTCCTACCGCGTTTATCATTAATTACTCGATATTGACGATATGTGTCCGATATTACCAGGTACTCAGTTCCCTTGGACTCTGTGTAGTTAGGTTTTTCAATTGATGAAATACAACAACATCCGGCAAAACAACAACAACAATAAATGGGGTGTCGCAAAGACAGCCCAAGCCTGGGATCTCTTCTCGCTCTCGTTGTTCAGCGAGAGGGAAGAGCGAGGCAGCGGCTGCGTCGCCTCTCATTCTCTCCTGTCCGTCGGATATCTTGATTGATGTCGCGGGACGTCGCAACGAATGTATATGTTATTTATCGCCGCAGCGACGATGACCCGGAGGCGAGCACCGTCCGCTGACTCGCGCGTCCCAGCAAGACTTCACTCGATCGATTCTTTTCGAAGGATTCGTTAAGGCTGATTTGTTCCGAGACTTGGTTGCCTCGCTGTGCGCGCGATTAGTTTTATCATATACTTATAAGATACTTATCCGTAGTTAGGGATCATTAGAGAAACTATATGCTCCTCCTCCGTTGTCAGCGAGTCGCCGGCTACCTCCTCTCTCGGAGAAAGGAGTCACCTCCTTGAAGAGGACGAGACATCCGTCGCGAGTCGCCCACGTTAACTCTGGCGCTCTACTACCCTCCCGCTGACCATAGACACGTTCTATGATATTGTTTTGCCCCTTAGCCAGTATTACGTTGATGTAATAAAAAATCTTTAATTGCAGATTCTCTGGTCTCTTTATTTTCTCCCCGATTATACCTATTGCGTATTTTCTCATCATTTTGCGCGCGATGGCAAATCATTGTTACTAATCCTAACTATTGTTTCACCTTTAATTGTCATTCAAATGGGAAGGATCGTGTATGTACGGGTATGCGTAAATCGACGCCAGGGCTATTTTTTTTCTATATATGGTAAATATCATTTATTCCGCATAAATTCTCTGTTAAACTATAGACATGGTATGTACAAATATATTTAATGCAAGTGATCTCTTACAAGAATTTTTAGTGTAATGCAGGTCTTGGTCAGTCTTTAGTTGCTGAGGCCCATTTTTCTTTGGCGGGGCGTCGAGCAGACTCAATCCTCTCGTGATCAAAAATAACACAGGATTATTATTCGCGAGAAAGAAAAAAATAATGAAACACCTTTTTGGGTACATACGAGAAAATCACATAAGTAGAATTCATGAATCGATATATGTAGGCACTTTTACCGCTAACTTACATCTCGTACGGAAAATCGTCGGTATACTTTACACGGATCGATTCGTCGGGATTTCGAAACAAGAGCTCATCCGCTTCTGCGTGAATCAATTCTGTCAGATTGATAACATTCATCTACTTGTCATGCGTTTTGCTGCGTTAACCTAACGGAAATAAATTTTTCTAGATATTACGTAAAAGAAATTGAATTTGTTTCCGAATCCCAACTTGACACTGAAACACATGTGTTTCTCTTCACCGAAATAATCAATATACGTACAATCGATTAAGATTCGATATCCGTAGTGAGCACTGTAAGAAATGGAAAAATAACGGGGATATTAAAATCAAGAAATTTTAATTAAATAATCGAATAAAATAATTCTTAAAAAATGCTAGAAATCATTTTCGCTCTACATGATCGTTTCAAAATCTTTCCACAAGATCACATCCTGCCATATTGAACTTGAAGCACATAGCCACGTAGCGAGACAAACAAGATTCAGGATATGGCCGAGGTAATTTAGAGAATAACAGCAATCAATTCAATTCAATTCAATTCTATAAATTTTTATCACATAATTCTTATAGTACTCACCAACATTCATACTGATTCTTGACTAAGAGAACACAGCATGCGCGAAAAGTTTGTCGAATCGACAAAACAGAAAATAAGCAAATCCAAGAAGGAGAATAAATGGAGCGAAAAGGAGAATAAGATGAAATATCTGTTAGGGAAGAAGGAAAATAGGTGTTTGAATTATACAGATTAACGACGAAGAAAGACACACCGAAGTCAAAACGACTTGGACTTCCTATTCTTAATACTCTACCTACGTACAATTCTAACATGCTCTCTCCTTTCTCACTCTCATTCTCACTCTCATTCTCTCTCTCTCTCTCTCTCGCTCTCTCTTTCTCTCTCTCTCACTCTTACTTTCTCTCATCTCATAAATGCTAAAACGACCCACAGCCTCGGTAAATGTTACAAACATCTTTGACTTCGGCGTCACGCAAAGTACAAACAAGCGATCTATACACGATGCAAAGTATTATAAGCAAACTATCAGAAACTATTAATCTCGATAATGTCGAGCGACTCACGTGGTGAAAAGTCACTAAAATCAGTTCGGCGTGAAATGTGTTAATTGTTTTTGTAAATATATTTTGAGACGCATATCGACTAATCTATAATATTTCCAAAGTAGAGTGACAATTTAGCGAAATTATTAATTATGACAATGAACTGTAGCGTATATAGATCGCTTTATTCCGTCTATCACGTATTGCGACTAATAAAATAGAGCAACTACGAGGGCTGCTTGTGATTCTCGCAAGCACTACGGACGGCCTTATGATCATTCTCGATTTTATCGCGACGTCTAATGACATACTATCCAAGAACTCGCCTGAATTTTTCTATTAGTACAGTGTTCCATCAAGGATCGAATATCAGAAATCAACCGAAAGAACTGGGAATATGTCTCTCGTCTACGATAGATACGAACAATCAAATGACAAACCGTTTTATTTAATATTATGCTTCTCTCTTATGTCTGATGCTGATGAACGGGGCTGTGGTGTTGCGACCATGCTGGCGGTGACAAGTGATTAAAATTAACCGATATCGTAACCGGATGAAGAACGATGTCGGGCCCGGTGTCCGGGATGAAGCTCAGGTAGGGCCTGATCAAGGACGCCTCGACTGTCAACGGTACGTAGAAGGAACCGGCGTCGTGCAGCGCGAAGATCGGCACCCCGTGCGACGACGAGGACGGCGGTTTGTCCAGACCTACGCTGTTCGACACCGGCGACGAGCACGTCTTGACCCTCTCGGCCGAGAACCTCTGTTTAATCGAGCTCTTGAATTTGTAATTCGTCGGCCGACAGGTGACGGCGCCGGTCCCGGGCGGCGTGCTGTGCGAATGGGTGCTGTGGTTACTGTCGTCGCTCACGATCGTTGGCGGGGGCACGATCACTGATCGCAGCAGCGGACGCTCCGGGTCGCCGAACGAGCTCATGCCCGAGCTAGAACCGTGGTCCGAGTGACCGCCATTGGGCTGGCACATCATCGCGAGGCTCGCATGAGCGTAGCTAGCGCCGTTCATCGCGCCATTCGTCGCCGGCAGCTCGGGATGCGGGAAGCCTACTCGATCACCTGGAGCAAGATATCAGGAAACTTAAACAACTCGATCGATTAAACGAAAATTCATGAAAACTCTATGATGGAGAGGTGAAGTGCTCAGATTCATAGATGACTCTTCAATAATGAATAAAGATATCTTCGAGGCTTGAAAGTAGTACTCGTCTTTTCAAATGATATGTTATAATGAACAAAAAGAGATTAAAGTATCGAATTTTCAAGGTCTTAAAAAAGAGACTCTAGCAACTGTGAAAATCTTGCGAAAATCGAACGTATAGGAACGATATGTACTGGCTAAGAACTTGTCGCAGTGCTGCTGCAAGTGGTTGTAGAGCTGTACGCAGAGAGTGTCTCTCGCGAAGAAGCCCTCGACCTCCTCGAGGAAGTGCATCGTCTCGTTCAGACACTCCTGAAATCCCAGCCTGTAATGCTCCGTCGCGGTGGACGCAGCGGTCGAATGGGACACGCTGTCCACGCTATCCTCGGGATGCGTGTGCACCGGTGTCACGGACGAGTGCTTGGTGTCTAAAGTACAAAACATCGTCATGTTTAACGACTATTGCCGCAACGTAATGCCCCTGTACGGTGGACGTGTCGCCACCGAGTGTACTCACGTTTCTAATTCGCGATCTGCGGAATATCAATATTCGCAGGCGTGATCTACATGCTGCTTCTACAGAATGACTGTTCTAATTTGCGAAAATAGAACGAGCGTTGCGTAATATATTTCCGTTCCTCTCAAGAGGATTTTATACTCGGGAGATTTGCGGTTGAATCGATTAAGACTCACCTTGCCGAAGGCCTTGAAGATGCTTCATGTGGCGGATCGCCATCTCGATGATCTCCGTCTTCTCGACTCTGCCTCGACCCTTCTTCAAATATTCTGCTGGTATGAGTCTACTGAGATCGGCCAGACAATTGTTCATGCGATCTCTTCTACGCTTTTCGATGATCCTATGTGACATCGGATCTTGCTGCAACAAATAAATCAACAATTCATTCAATTACTTGTCCGCTTTTTGGCGTGCGTATAATCTATATTTATATATCACAAATATTAAAGAAAACAAGTCATTTTATGTATATAAAATTCAACACGCGAAATTGAAATTCTCTGATTAAAAAAAAATTACATTCTATCAAGTAATTTTTTCAATATAATTTGATTTAATAATCTGCAAGTAGTAATAATCGGGATATGGTCAGACAAGAGACGAATTAACTGAGAAGCATTAAAAATAACGATTAAATAAATAAACAGATACATTTTTACGACGATTTATTATTCGAGAGTTGTATATACGATGTATATACAAATAGTATACATTAGAATCGTGCGTGAAAATAAAATCAATAGCCTCATGTTGAGCAATCACTCTGCTTCATCCATACGCATGTTAAAACAACGTCGCGAATGAGAGAAACGACAATTACGCTATCACGAGTAAATTAAAGCACGTTATCATTCGTAAAGATCATGTCGCGATACGTTGTTGGAGCACGATTATCTGTACGTGTCGATTATCACGGTCTCGAAGCACGTATCGCACTCATTAGGTAACTGCTTTTCGGCAAAATGTTCATCTATCACACGAATCGCGGAAAGATAATGTCGAACGTTCAGATACAAAGCCAAAAACGTGATGCAATACAAAAAATTTTGCTAGTCACAGAATTGTACAAAACTTTCGAATTTTAACTTTCCTTTCTAATTTTACTTTTAGAATTGAATTCTTGAAATAAGTTAAGCGAATAAATATATTATTTTTCAGTTGCAATCGCAAAATTGGATTTTTTGAAAAAGTTGACAAAAATGTAAGACAATTTTGTATGAGCAAACTTTCCATATTTTAAAAGCAGTATCTCATTGAAAGTTTTTTGTTTTCTAAAAAACTATCTATATCATATTTGTAGCCCCCTCTTCGCTGTCCCCAAGTCATACACTGCATGAGAAATCTTACATAACTGCATTTTACTTAAAACTTGATTAGTCACTCTTTCAAAACAACTAATATATTCCTTCAGATAATCGTAATTTAATCTTCGAGATAATTTGGTTAGAAAACGCAATTACTCTTCGGGACCGCTTCTAAATGTTTACTAGATTCATAAAACTTTACGAGAGAATAGAGAAATGCTTGGGTTTTACCTCACACACACAATTATGCGTTTTAAATGGCAAACGGACAAAAGCAACGTCACAATGACGTCTCGAGTTTCGCACTAATTTATGAGCGCGTAGCATTCAAACAACGGTAACGTAATCCTCATTCCTGGCGCGCGGCCAGCGCAACATTTTCCATGAAACTCATTCATGCTAAATTACGCGGGCGGCCGACAATGAAGGCAGAATGACGTAGGAACTATATAAAGCGAGATAAAAAAGTAGTAATTTTGTAACAGTCAAAACTGCTCGACTCAAAACAATCCTCATCTGGACCAAAATTTATTTACAGAGACGCGCTATCCCTTTATGACTTTATAATTTAAATTTTGTAGAATAATCAAATTTTAGTAATAATTAAATATTAGTGTTCAGGTAAAATTTATTAAAAGAAAAATTAGATAAGAAATTCGTAGATGTGTGGAAGAAATTTGATGATAGACATTTCGGAGCAATTTTTTCGAATGTGGATATATGAAACTTTATATAATTATAAAACTTTGCAAGTCTGTTTTCTCCGTGTGTAAAAAACGAGATATCGATTTCGCTTTCAAACTGACGAAAGTATATTCACCTCTTTATTCAAACAACGTCTTTTCCTTGGCGGTGGCGAGTGCATCGATATATCGATGTGGTTGTTCGTCGGATAATATTGCATGTTTAGAATGTTATCCATACTGTGCGTGACCATCCTGTCTCGAGTAAAACACTCGGTAGAAGAAAAGAGAAAGAAAGGATCTCCTTATTTTCTACCACAAAGTTTCGGAGCAAACAAAGATATCGATTCACTCATAGATCGATTGCTCTCTATTTCCAGTTGCTTTTCTTTAAGAAAATATTCCCGTATACAAATACCATGTGACATATACATATACACGTGTATGTATACCATAGAAAATTTTAAAAAAAATTTTTTGTGTTAATAAAATCGATGAAGATATTTGTACTGGATAAAATTTATTTTCGAAGAGTAAGGTCTTTCCCACGTCTCCGAATTTTTATCTTTCAGTTCACACCAACAGTTCACGCACTATAATTATCTCGAACACTTTTAAAGTTTGTAACAGTTTGTAATTGTTCCACACGCAATTTAGTTCAAATTAATTTCGACATGTGCTTGCTTTCATATATTTTGCATCGTTTGTACATTATTAAAATTCTCGCGTATTGTTATGCAATTATCGAGGAATTTATTTAAATTGTACATATGCTTATGCATATATTGTCCTTTTAAAGATATATAAAGATGTATATGTATCTTATATACAATAATTGTCAAATTAAGAAAATTATTTAAAGTTTATGTGTGTAATTAAAAAATGCAACAATGAAAAACTCAGTGAAAGATTGCTCAACTTCCACTGACACTCAGACTCGGAAATGCCTCCCGAACAGAGGTACTGTACGCTACGCGTGCTCACGAATGGCAGGCACGACGACGACTACGAGCGACGAGCCGCGACGCTCGCGTTTCTTCAGCGACCGGGAGGGAGACGTCACGCCGCGCCGCGCCGCGCCGAGTCGAGTTGAGGCGACGGCGAGGCATCACGTGTCGGAAACGCGATGCATTACGCCCAACACGTGAGGCAACACGCGTGTCCATCGCGCCGCGCCGAGCCGAGCCGAGCCAGGGGCTCCGCTTGGTGCGAACGATAGCCCCACACTTTATCTACAAACGTGCGGTTGGAGTTTCTCATCCTCGATTTTCCATCAATTTTGCACTACGTTTCCTTCAAAACGTTATGCGCGATAGCGGCGATGCTTACAAACATTCATAAATAACTTACAAATATTTACGAACGTGTTGCGAAAATTTTAAAAAACTTTGAATTCATTTAACAGAACATTTTACGACGCACAATTCTGCGTGATTCATATATGGATGTATTTTGTGTAAAAATGTTATTTTTCTTATAGAAGAAATTTAGTTAATTTCGAATCGTAAATATACTTTTAGGGTAAAAAATTTCTTTGAAAAACGAATTAAATCTTTTGCAATTACATATTTCATTGTAATTTATTATATTGTATATGTAAAGCCGGCTCCAATTTTAATAAAACATTTTTTGGCGAAAAAAGAGAAAGAGAGATTTAATCTTATCAATCACAGAAAAAAAGGAATCCTTGATTCAAGTATATTTTTATTCTTGAACGCTATTTGATTGATTTAAGCATAGAATGCTCTTTGTAATCACAAATTTTCATTTGCCTTAATAATAAATAAATTTGTGTAAAGTAAATTTTATCCTTAAGATATATTCTTGTTTTAAAAATCGTATATGGTAAAAACAAACTTAGTCACATTTGAACTAAGAATTATTATATTTATTTGAAAGTACCGCTTATATCCGATGCACACTTGTCACTTGTCCTTGCAATATTTATAAGTAAATTTCAGCTTCAACCAAGAATATTTTGCACTTTGTTTTAAGGATAAATTATCCTTTATCCAAAATTATTTATATTTGGTGCTATTATAAGGATAAAATATACTTAAATCAAGGCATATTTGCATTCTCTCAAGGATACTGTTTTCTCTGTGATATTATGCATAAATGCTGCTAATGTATGTACAAGAATGTCATTATATTCATGTTAATTATTCATAAATTATATTTTATCAAATGATTTACATAATGCAAAGGAAGGCAATTTTCATATTTATTAGAGCAGGCGATTATTGATTATTCCAAAGAATTCTACATTCATGTTTGATATAATTTATCGAAAATTACATACCTATATCTAAACATATCTTGTTGCATAAATCGTAAACACATTAATTGAATTAATTAAATGTTTATATATTCATTCCTGTAATTGCATATTTAATTATTACTGTCAATAATTTGGCTCATATGTGAATATAACTACACATTTCCCAGAGCGTTTATATATATCGAATTGTTAATTAATATTGACAAAATCACGAAATATGAAATTAAATATTGACTTTAAAACAAATAAATATTTAATTATGCTTTCTAATTTATGCTCAGGAAGCATCAATAATAAATCGATTTAGTTAAGATTATAATCATTTCTCGAAGAATTATATTTTACACAAAAAGGAAACAACCTAATGCGTAGTAATTAAAACTTTTCTTTTCCTAAGCACCGAGTAAAAAATTAAGCAACCAATGATAAAAGTCATGTAATATAAAAAATACATCGATTCAACATATGACAACACTAATGATAACATTAATTTAATTATCTGATATTGGATCTAAATATTAATAGATTCAATCATTCTAGCGAGGTATTTATTATTACCTCCACAAACACATCATTAAATAGTATCATTAAAATTTATTAGAAACTCATAAACGATGTGATAATAAGAAAAATTTAATTGCAGTACTTCACGTTCTATTTATTATCTTATGCTATAAAAACGGTATTACATTCTTAATAATCAGTCTTTCTATTTCAACGATCTATTATCTTGTGTGTGATAAACGTTTCTCACATTATTACATATTTAATAATATCGAATAAATTGATATTTTTCGCAGATTATTTGGTCAATTTAATAAAGTACCTATATACTCTGAAACTTTCTTGTAATAACAATGATACGAAAAACTATTGTATGTTATCAAATATTTTTATTTTAAATATTAAATAATTTGTCAATCAAGAGTTAATTTGAATTATTACTCGAATAAGATTTATTCAAAATTATAAAACAAGATAAACTGTTTTTTTATTTGCAAAAATTTTTGATGGATTAAATAATCTTCACAATTAAAATTTTTTATTAAAAGAAATATCTCGTTTAATTTAAAATTTTTTATGCATATGCAT